GTTGGAGACAGCTTCACGGCACGTCACAACAACATCCTCAAATCTTCTTGGGAGAAGACGGCCAGATCTGTCCTCCCGTGCAGCCGCTGGGTGGGTTTGGACCGCCAACTCTAAGGTGCACAGCTTAACCACTATGCCACCAGGCCCCCTTTCCTTAGTGGCCTCTTGTGGCTTTAGTCACTCAGAATTTTGAACACCCTCAAAATCCCCTTCCCTTCAGGGGGCCCGGCATGGCCTACAACTTCCACATGGGTGCCCGGGTCTGGGTGCAGCCCCCACTGCTCGAAATCGCTGGGGGCCATGTTGGGAAGGAGGCCAGAGGCCCAGGAAGGGAGTGTCCGGGCGTCCGTGGCTGCCACCCCAATGTGCCACAAATGGGGCGGCTTACAACAAGGGAAACGCGGTCACAGGCCGAGGCCAGGCACCCGCCGGCTGTGCTGCTTCCCCAGGAGGCACTGAGGGCTCTGAGCGAGGATCTTTCTGGCCTCCACCACTCTCCTAGTCAAAACAGCCCCAATAAACAAAATCTCAAATTATCATATGAAGACAGGATTCTGCAGGCCTTAAGGTGAGGCTGGGTGGGGTGGGGTGCAGAGTCCAGCAAGTGCCTGTCTGCATGTAAAATGGGGACGTTTTGTTCACTGTGGACTTATACGCATTGATTGTGACTTTTTAAAAGAGTGTATTAAATTATCTAGTGGTGCAAAGGTTAAGCGCTCGGCTGCCAACCCAAAGACTGAAGCTTTGAGTCCACCCAGCGGCCCCTCGGAAGAAAGGCCTGCGACCTGTTTTCCAAAGGTGCCAGTCTTGGAAACTCCATGAGGAAGCCCTGCTCTGTCACATGGGGTCTTGATGGCAACTGACGACGCCTTCAACAAGCTCTAACACTAACCTAAAGGTTGGCGGTTTGAACCGCAGCCACACCACACCAGCCATCTGCTTCTGTAGAGATGACAGCCCAGGAAACTCAGTGGGGCACTTCTCTGTCATATGGAATGGACTCCGAGGCACCGTGGCAGCTCCGGTGGCCTAGTGCCTAAGGCACTTGACTGCTAACCAGAAAGCTGGCGTTTCAAACCCACCAGCCACTCCTCGGAAGGAAGACTGGGCAGTCTAGTTCCGTAGTGATATCACCTTGGAAACCCACGGACGGGTCGCTATTAGTCAGAGCCGACTCAACAGCAGTGAGTTTCTTTCTTCTTCTTTTTTTTTGCCAAGGCACCTAATAACACCAACGCCCAATGATGAGATTTTGGGCACCTCCTGACATTTTGAGCCGGAGGCAGGCCTCACTGTGTTCCTGCTCCTGGAGGGAAAGGTGACGCCTGGAGTTACTTCCCTAGGGGTCCTGGGGGCTAGTCCTGGCCTGACCCTTTTCACAGGTAAAACTTAACAGGGCGTCAGAAAATGGAACAATTAACATAAATAATATTGACATGCAATATTGTTTTAAAAATCAAAGTTGTGCATAAAACTCCACAGTAAACAAAGTTACATTTTTACAATCAAAACAGGCCCAGGACTGACTCTGGCCCGCCTTCCAAGTCCCAGCATCATGGGATCCCCACCCAATGACGAACACAGTGTGGTCCAGCCGTAGAGTGGACTATTACTCAGCCCTGAAGAGGAAGAAGGCTCCGACACATGTAGCCCATGGGTGGACCTTGAGAACACATGCCCCGTGAGAGAAGCCACACACAAACGGCCACACGTGTGCAAGTCCACATGGAGGACACGTCCAGAACAGGCAAGGCCACAGAAACAGAAAGGGGATTAGTGGTTGCCTAGAGCCTGGGGGAGCTCTGGGGGCTGCTAACCAAAAAGTCAGTGGTTTGAACCCACCAGCCACCCTGTGGAACAAAGATGAAGCAGTTTGCCTCCGTAAAGATTTATAGCCTTGGTAATCTCGTGGGGGTCTCTCTGAGTCAGAATGAACTGATGAAAGTGAATGTGTCTGTTTTGTGAGAGCCTGGGGAGAGGGGGAGTGATCGCCCGGGGGTGAGCAGAATGTTCTAGATTAGATTAGTGCTGTTGGTTGGATAGCTCTGTGAATGCACTAAAACCCACTGCACTGTGGGTCCCCAGTGGGTGAATTTTAGGATTTCATGTATGACCTTCATCTCATTAAAGCTGATATTTACTTTTTTCTTTCTTTCTTTCTTTTTTTTTAACCAATGGATACTCAATTTATTAAAATAAATCTAAGCATCTGCAATGGTGACTTCAACCTCCACTCCAGTCCAGGTTCAACACTGATGGAACTGATCTGCTTAACAATCTCCGAAGGACTGTGCAAGTCAATGAGTGGCTTGTGAATTCTCATCTGGGAAGGATCCCAGGTTTGGAGCCTTCGCCACAAGGAGTTTTCCTGGTAGTGATTCTCAGAGTCTTGGTAGGCGTCCTAACGGGTCCCTTCACTTTGAGGTTCTTCTCCTTTGTGCCTCTAATTAAATCTGCGCACAGCTTCTCCAGGGATTTTACCTTGCGGCTGGCCAGAGTCATTCTAATCCGGTGGATGGCCACCTCTGGTTCCACAGGTGTCTTTCTGGTGTCCTTAAAAGCCATGGCTGCGGTGCTGCTTCCTGGCTGACTTGTTTTGGGGTGACCGCGAACAGCGGTGGGTCAGGAGCCGGAGCAGGGGAACGAAACACCCGCGCAGCTACAACCGCGTCGTCGTCCTCAAAGAGCTCAGTAAAGCTGATATTTAAACAAAAATAAACTGAAGATGTCTGGAAGTCAAGGTCACCCTTAAGCACTGTGGGGCAATCTACATCCCTAAAGATTTACAGCCTCGGAAACCCTATGGAAGTCACTATGAGTCGGAATCAACTGGGTGGCAGTGGGCACCTGAGACCAAAAGGACAACAGTGACTCTGCTGCATTGAGGGAAGCTAAGGGGACAATGGTCAGGATCAATGGGGCTGAAACTGCAAGAGCAGAAACCAGGAGCACGTGGGCAGTGATTCGCGAAGTCCCTGAGCCAGCGTGGAGCCGTCCAATGGGAGCACGTTTTGATCGGTATGTTTTCACCCAGAAGAATGGAATAGGAAATACAAAACAATAGCCGTCCCTGATGGTGGAAGGGGCTGGGCCGGGTGGTGGTGAGTGTGTGACCAGTGATGGAAGCAACGGGGTGGCAGTGGGGGTGGGGGTGAGAGCCTCACAGAGAAGCGCCCTGTGGCGGCTGGGAGCGTCCTTCACACGCCTGACTCACTCAGCTCCTCACCAAAAGGCTGGGGGTTCGAGTCCCCCAGAGGACCTCAGAAGAAAGCCCTGACAATCTGCCTCCAGAGGTCAGCCACTGAAAACCCCAAGGGGCCCAGCTCCACTCCAGAGTTGACTCCCAGGGAGACCGGTTTGTTTTTGTATTCGTTTCAGCTCTTTTCTATGTCCTCACCACCCTCAGATGAAGATGGCGCAGCTAAGGACTGTGAGCTTGCCCTGCTCACATCCGCCAGCAGGGCGACATTCCACCCAGTGGTCTTGCTTCATGGGCATGGGAGGGACTGATTGGGACACTGCCACCTCCCCCAGGGAGTCCTCCCTGATGCCACTGGGCTCTGCCATCCCTGACCTCTGCAGGCCTCGCTGGCCACGGACTGAGGCTGCCCGGGCCAGGGCCTCCACTCGCTCAGTGGGTTTCCGACAGCCATTGCTGCTGCAGGGCTCAGCGCACACTGGTCGCTTCATAAATGTCTGCTGACCGGATACTGGAGAGCGGGCAAAGTGACCATCCTGGGGGGCCGGGCCTTTCTGCGGCTCAGATACGTGAACCAACACCCCAGGGCACACAGAGGCAGCCTGGCGCACTCCATGGGGCATGCCCCGGCAGCGCAGCGGCAGCCTCCTGCCGGCCCCTCCTCCCTCATCCGTCCACTGCAGCCGGCGCTGACTGGCCCACCCCGCCCCCTCCAGACACCTGTCCCTGTCTGTCAAGGGGCCACCTCCCCAAGCTCTACCCTGTCCACCGACACAGCGGTTTCAGGGTAAGTGGGACTCAGAGAGGGCTGGGCGTAGGTGGGGGTCTCCAGGGTCTGGGGAGGTGGTCACCAAGGCCCACAGGGTCCCCAAACTTGTGGCCATCCCCCCAATCTGGGAGCATGCACCCCCAGTCTTCCCTCTGCACGGGACCCCTCCCCCACTGACATGCCCTACCCCTTCCCTGGTCTTGGGGTCTCAAGGAAGCGTTGCCCCTTGGCTCAGGCATAGGGATACACTCAGTGGCAGATGGAGGCAGGGGGACCCCAGAAAACAGGGCTTTGGGAAGTAGACAGTCATGGGTCTCCCTTCAAGCTTGGAGCAACCCCTACCTCCAACCACATTTTCCTCGTCTGTCAAATGGAATCAGAGGCCACGAGGAGGACATGGGCCCAGTTTTGGGGTCAGGAGACTCCCAGACGCTCCCCCACTGCCCCAGCCCCTCTGGGCCCGACTGCTGGGCTGAACCCTGAGAGTCAAGGTGTCCAGTGGGGGTCCAGGTGCCAGGATCAGAGGTATAGAACAGCCCAAGGGAGAATCTGTGGGAAGAGTGGCCTGGGAGGGAGGGACTGAGCCATCCAGTGGCCTGTCTGCTGACCTGTGACACCAGCTAAAAATAGTCCCTGCACTCAGACAGCACAAGGCAGTGACTGGGCTAGTGGGTTAGGAGCTGGCCTGTATCTCTGACTCACCGCTGTGCAACCTGGCATGAGTTCTAGCCCTCTCTGGGCCCCAGCATCGTGGGCAGCTGTGCTCAGGGACACTGGGGCCTCTGGGAGGCTGGGCTAGAGGGAGGGGTCCAGAGATGGGGGTGAGGCAAGGCCAGCAGGAGGTCAGGGAGGGTGCCTGTGACCACCCTTGTCTGACTATGGACTTGCCTGGTGAAGGGTGCTCTGAGCAGAGGGTGGGAGGCAGGAGAAGGGGTGGCTGAGTCATGAGCACAAAGCCTCCAGGCTCCAGGTCAGGCCCAGGCCCAGAAGCCCATCCTCTTGTAGCCTGATGCTGCATCTCCCAGCACTGCCATGACAACCAGGGCCTTGGAGGAGCTGGATGGAGGCCTGGGCAGCTGCCCAGCTGAGGAAGACCTCTCTCTGCTGGCTGACCCGTGCCCAGGCCAGGCCCAGGAGGACAAAGCTCAAGGTACCTGCTGGGGCTGGGGCCTCTTGTAGCAGATGACTTAGCTCTGCCCCCCTTGGCCCCATTCTCTGCTTGAGACCCCCATTACTACTCTGGGGGCGGGGATGCATATAAGGAGCCCAGGGAACACAGAGACCCAGGTTCAAACCCAGCTCGCCACTGACATGCTGTGTGCCTTTGGGCAAGACACTTGTGGTCTCTGAGCTTATTTGCTTTAACTGTAAATGGGCAGAGCTGGGGGGAGGATGGGATTGGCTCAGGGCTCCCCATGACTTTGATTCTGCCTCTGTTCCCACCGACAGGGACGTCTAGGCTGGCCGACCTCAGCAGCTGGCCCCATGTGAGTTATAGCCTGGGTCCCCCTGCATGGAGTCAGGCATATGCTGCCCAAGGAGTGTGGGTTTCTATAGGCCACTGGGGGGGGGGTGTTGGGGATTGGGTGCCCTTGAAAGAGAGTACTCAGGCTGCCTCCTTACAGGACTCCCCCCCAGCAGCTGAGGGCCGTGTGGACACCAAGTCTAAGAAAATGGAAAAGGAGCCTGCGGTCAAGGGGGCCCCAAGCCCCAAGGAGAAGCTGAAAGCCGGAGCAAGTGGGTTTGCAGAAGGCAGGGTGAGGTGGGGGTGCATGTGGCTGGCCATGAGGGGTAGGTCCAGGGACTGGGTCCTGGACGCTTGGGGTGTGATGGGGCCCAGTTGCTGGGTGGTATCCAGGTGTTGAAGGCAATGTCTAATTAGGCTATGAAACGAAAGCAAACCAAACCCACTGCCACCAAGTCGATTCCAACTAGTGACTCCTATTGGCTCTCCAAGGCTGTTAATCTTTATGGAAGCAGATTGCCTCATCTCCCTCCCGCGGAGCAGCTGGTGGGTTTGAACAGCTAACCTTCTGGTTTAGCAGCCGAATATCTTACCCACTCCACCACCTGCGATTTGCTCATTCATGTAACACCAGTTAAGGTGCTGTGAAGAAGTTTCACACTGAAGCCTTTTCTCCAATGATCTTGGCATGTTGGAGAAACTGGGGCACACAGGGCTGGGGGTCGTTCAGCGACGCAGGGGTGGAGGTGGGGGCAGAACCCACTAGCCCAGGCCCCTCGGTACCTGCTCCTGGAGAGAGGAGGTGCCAATCCCGCCAGCCACAGCCGCGCACTTGCCTACAGCGCCCCGCAGCGCCCCCGCGCGGAAGAAGTCGCAGGCGGCGCCACCCCCGAAGCAGCCGCCGCCCCCGCCGCCCCAGATGGAGGAACTGCCCTGGGGAGACATGTCACTCAACAAGTGCCTGGTGCTCGCCACGCTGGTGGCGCTACTGGGCTCAGCCTTCCAGCTGTGCCACGGTGAGCTCCTTTCCCTCGCGGGGTCGTGTGCAGCTCCCTGTTAGGGGTGCATCTTGAGACCCCATGGTTGGGCCTGGGACAGCCTCCTCCAAAATGGTCCTTGAGGGTCCCTTCCCTATGGTCTGCCCCATGGGCCCTGAGCATCCCACTTGGGGACGTCGGATGGGCTATGAACTCTTCATTAGCGCGCCCTCCACAGACACTGTGGTGAGAGCACCCTAGTGAGGGCCTGCCCCCACCTCTTGCCAGAAGCGGCCACGTGCACCCTTCAGGCTGCCCTGCCCCCGGGGCGCTCCTGTGGTCCAGGAGACAGACTCAGTCTTTTTGCAGATGAGAGAGCAAGCGAGGAGGGGAAGGAAGGGGCACACGTCAGCAGCAGAGCCTACCTGAGCGCTGCCCAGGGCAGGGCGGGGCAGAAGGGGACCCAGCCAGTTTCAGGGGGGACCCAGCCCCTCCATCTGTGTGCAGGGAACCTCACCCCCGAGGTGGGGGGCTGCCAGGGGCGAGGAGAGGGATGGACGGTGCACCGGTCCCTCGCTCCTCAGGCTGAGTTGGATCCCCCTTTCCACCTCTAGACACCGTGATTGGCAAGGTGGCCGTCCCCGAGCCCGCCCGTGAGCCATGGCTCCCTCCGAGCGGTGCCCTGAAAGCTCGCGAGACGCCCCCGGTAAGCGCCTCCTCCAGCTGACCCAGGAGTGCAGCCTGCACCGGGGTCGGGGAGGCGGCACTGACCTACTCCCCCACTGTCTGCCCTGCAGCAGCCGCCAAAGCCCGAGGCCTGGACACCTCCCCCCGCGTCGCCTGCGCCCCAGAAAGAGGCCGAGGCGAGGTCAGAGTCTCCCCGGAGCGGGAAGGCCGCAGAAGAGGCCGAAGAGGAAGCCAGCGAAGCCACCGGGGAGACCCCCGGGAAGGCCCAGGTGGATCAAGGACCCAAGGAGAAGCCGCCCGGGAAGGAGCGAAGGAAGGAGAGGCCGCGGAGCGAGAAGGAGGAGAGACCTCGGAAGGCGAGGCCGCAAAGGGAGAAGGAGCAGAGGCCGCGGAGGGAGAGGCCGCGGGCCGACAGGGAGGGGCGAGAAGCGCCGCCCAGGCGCCGAGAGTCTCGCGAAGGAGGCCATCGGCCGAGGGCCCGGGACTCCCGGGACGCCGAGCACAGGGCCTCCAAAAAGAAGGGGCAGACTTTCTCGGAAGAGGAGGAGCGGCCCGGACGCCAGAAGCACCGCGCGGGCAAGGGGCGGGACTGAGCTGGGCCTGGGGGCTGCGCCCTGCGCCTCGCTGGGGGCGAAATAAAACTAGTCCCTTGGCCTACGCGTCCGCAAGTTCCTTGCCCTTAAAGCCCAGGGCCTGAATGACGAAGGTGGGGAGCTTCAGGCTGTGGGAAGACGAAGTGAGTGACAGGAAGACTTGCTCCCTGTGACCTGTTGGAGGAGACGCCAGGGAAGGAAACCCCCAACCAAAAAACAACCACAAACCCATTGTCATTGAGTGGATTCCACCTCATAGCAGCCCTGTGTGACATGGTTTTTCCTGGCTCCAATCTTTATGGAAGCAGATCGCAGTGGTGCTGGATGGGTTCGAACCCCACCAACGTTTAGCTTAGTTGTCGCCATGGCGTCCATTCTCACCCATGGCGACCCCATGTGTTACAGATTAGAACTGCTCCATAGGGTTTTCAAAGCTGTGACGTTTCACAAACAGGTCACCAGACCGTTCTTCCAAGGCACCTGGTGAGTAGTTAAGTCCAAACTGTTTTGTGCCACCCACAGCCCCAGCCTGTTCTCTAACACAACACAGACACACCAGCAGGGCTCGTGTTGGTTTTTATTGGGGCAAGACAAGGGGGTCAGAATAAATACGGGCAAGGGCGCACTGGGCCATGCGGTCACCGGCAACCGCACTCGGTGGCTACCATATTGGGCACGTGACGCGCGCTAATACGCTCCTCAGACAGACTGATAAGCACCTTGCCTGCGTAGGCAGTGGGCACGCAGCAAGGGAGCCGTGTCAGGGCGGCGCCACGCGCCTGCATTTTGAGCAGCAGCACCACGTGGTTGCCATAGTGCGGGCTGCGATCAGACTGCGGCCACCCGCACGCGCCCTGGCAGTTGTTGGCCTGGTAGGTCTCCGGGATGAGCACCGAGCGTTCGGCGCGCAGGTCCACTATGAGCTCGCGCAGCGCGCACGGCCCGTCCCCGCCGGGTGCCTCCCCGGAGCTACGCTGGGGTCGTTCGCGCCGCTCGCGCCAGCGCCACTCTGCACGCAGGCCCTGCAGAGCTTTGAGCAGCAGCAGCGCGCGCAGCGGCCGCGCGGGGCCGTTCCCACCGGCGTCCCCCGGGCACAGTGCCAGCAGGTGCGCCAGCAGCGGGGCGACGGCAGGCGGCAGCCCCGGAAGGCCCAGGAGCTCGGCGGCCGCCGCCTGCAGTTCGGCGGCCACGCGGCGCGCCAGGCCCGCTGCCCACGGCGCCTCTCCCGCGGGGCCTGGCGAGGCTTCGGCCTCCTCGGGGGCGTCCCCAGCGTGGAGTGGCTGCAGCAGCAGCAGCGGCTCCTCGCTGTCCAGCAGGCGCTCGAGCGCTGCGGGGTCCGACAGGTTGACGAGGCCTTGTGGGACTGGGACGGCGGCCAGCGCGCCTGGATCCAGGGCTAACCGCAGCGGCGAGGCCCGGCCTGGGGGACCCCGCAGCGCGCGCACCAGGCGCGTGAGCGTCTCCAGGAAGGGATCTGTGCTTCGCGGCTCCTCAGTCTGCAAGGACGGCCTGGGGGCGGGGGCGGGATGAGCCGGCACCAGGCGCCGCCCCCCCATATGCCGCAGCCCTTAGCCAGCACCCTCCTTCCGGAACACTCTGGGCCTCCCCTCGCCTCCTTTCCGGCCCAAACACCCCAGACGCCCCCTACCGCCCCTCCTTCCCAAGCTCTTTCGGCCTCCCACCCAACACCCAGAATCTCCCTCCTCTGCTCTGTAACCGAACACTCTAGACCTCCCGTACAAGCCCCCTGCACCCCGACCCCTTCCGCACCCCCAGCTCTCTGGGCCTCCCTACAACCTCCTTTTCCCCTCCCCAGCGCCCCGCACCTGGAGGGCGGGAAGGGCACCGTGTCCACCTGGCCTTGTACAGGTAGCGGAGTGGGCGGGGGCCGCGGGGGCAGCAGCAGCAGCAGAGTGGGAGTCATCCGCGTGAAGCAGCGCGGGTCGGCGCCAAACAGCAGCGCCTGAAGCTGGGCGATGCCCAGGGCCGCGCCTGTGGCAGGGGCGCTGCTCAGGGGCAGGGTCCCGGTGGCAGCCTTCCTGGCCCCCTCCTGCCCCCGCCAGCCCCTCTGCCGCCTACCGTCTCCACGCGGCCGCAGGGTCAGGGTCAGCCCGGAACCACGCCAGGCACCCTCCGGGCGGTCCACAGCCAGCGCCAGGTAGCGGGTGTCTGGAGTAGGGCAGAGGCTCTGTGGAGACGGGGGTGGCTGGGTTGGGTGGAGTGCATCCTTGCCCAGCCCTGCTCTGCCTGCACCTAATCCCTACTCCCAGGGCACTAGACCCTGGTTTACCCGTCACCCCTACACCCCCTCACAGTGCCGACCATGACCACTAAACACAACCCTCCACTCTGGTGCCTTGTCAGAGCTCCAGGGGCTGCAGGTCTGCCCCGTGGAGTCCACGTACCTGGGTGCCTGTCAGCCCAGGCCCTGTGACCGTGGCTGTGGGGCCTGCCCCAGGGTACAGCACCAGCAGTGCCAGGTCCAGGGGGCCGCCTCCTCCAGATGGGGGCTCCTGGAACCTCAGGGAGGGTGTGGGCTCCCACATCACTGTGGCCAGACAATGGGAAGGCAAGCCCTGAGCCACTGGGGCCCAGGCCCCTGCAGGCCTGTCTGCTGGGTGGCACAGTGCCTACCTCTAAAGGGCAGGCAACCCTGCAGGAGCATGGTGGCGGGCAGGGCAGCCAGCGGCGGGCAGGCTGTGCTGAGGTTGTGGGTGGGGCTGTCGCCTTTGTCCTTGGGCTGCTGGGGTCTCCAGATCTGGAGAGCTCCTTGAGGGAGGCCCACTCATGTCCCAAGGGAAGGCTGTTCTCTGCAGTGGGCCTCTTTCTGAGGGTAGTGGCTGTGAGAACGCGACGGTGCACCCTGGCTACCAGCTGTATAGGGGTATGTGTGTGTGTGGGGAGCTCTCCCCTGCTGGGCCTGTGGGTTCAACTCACTTCACCAGATAGCTTTTTCATGGACCCAGAGGTGGGGAGAGGGGACACTTCTGCAGGGTTCTGTGGGTGGGGTGGGCAGTCTGTCAGCACCCACTCTCTCTGGGAGAAACCTGCCCAGCTGTGACCAGTCCCCCACATACCTTCCTCCAGGTGCAGGACTACCAGGTGCTGTCCCCTGGGCTCCCTGAGCCAAGCACCCAGCTGCCGTAGCAGGCCCAGGGCTGCCTGCTCATCTCCAGGGGCACAGAGCCCAAAAGCAGCCAGGTCGCGGGGGCCCCAGCGGGCACGGCGCACCGCCTCCAGGAAGGCCTGCTCGTAGCTGCCCAGGGCGCCCGCCACCCGCAGAGGGGCGCTGCTCTCGTTGCCCTTGCCCAGCGACACCAGGCACAGGTCTCTTGGGCTGTCTGGGGGTGGCCAGGCCCAGTCCCCACCAGAGATGAGGTCCCCAGGACTCCCGGCCGGCTTCTCAGGGAGGGCCAGGGTGCTCAGCGCCTCTTGGCTATTGGTCTCAACCCGCAATGCAGCCCCCAGTGCCCCCAGCACCAGGGCCAGGCAAGGGAGAGGCAGTGAGACAGGCATGGTGGTGATGGGGCCTGGGTGGCTGGGCTTATATGGGCACCTCCCCGAATGCCTGGGTGCAGGGCGGGCTTTGTCCCGTGGACGTGACCTTGGGGGCTGCCAGGTGCCCCTGGGAGCCTGGGGGAGGTGTCCTCACAGGGCCTTTGTGTTCCACTCCCGGCTATCTCTCCTCTACCCAGAACTTAGACCCGGCCTGTTGGCCAAATTCATCTAAGCCTTGTCCTTGACTTCGCTCTCCCGAGGACAGAGGGGCACTGTCTGCCTAGGGAGGCAACAGCCAGACCATAAACAGGTCTGGGCCTGGCATGGGGAGGGAATGCCTAAGACATGGGCCCTGATGGTGAGGCAGCTCCCTGGGTGGGGCTTTAGCCTGATACCAGGCTGAGGTCCTGGGAGCTGGGTGTTGAACTCAGCTGAAGTGGGAGGCCCCCGGCTCCTCAGCTTGGAGACCCCAGATCTGCTGATGCCTGGCAGTGGGGCTCGTCCTCTGCTCAGCGGCCTCCCTAACACCAGGCGGCCCCCCCCCAGCCATAGGAGCAGGGACAGCGAGGCAATGCTGGGCCCTCAGCCCCCAGACATGCTATACCAAACCACGCCACTCGAAGTCCAGGGAGACTTTATTGATAGGAGCCAGGCACAACACAGTTCTATAAAAACACTTCTTTCCACAATGCAACGCAGGATCAGAGGGGCCTGTGGAGAGGGAACGCCCCTCAGTTGCCTGGGGGTGGGGGAGGGAGGCTCCCAGGCCCATCGGAGGGGAGTGGAGGTCTCAGCATTGGGGGCATGGGAGTTGGAGGATGCACCCCAGGATTTGAGGGGTGCACCCCAGGAGCAGAAGGGTGGACCCCTGGAGCCTGAGGGTGAACCCCTGGGGCTGCTGGGTGGACCCCGGGAGCAGATGGGTGCACCCCAGGAGCCTGGGGATGAACAGCAGGAGTTGGAGGGTGTACCCCTGGGGCCTGGGGGTGAACTCCTGCAGTTGGTGGATGCACCCCTGGGGCCTGGGGGTGAACTCCAGCAGATGGAGGAGGATGGACCCCTGGTGCTGGAGGGTGGACCCCTGGGGCCGGAGGGTGGACCCCTGGGGCCGGAGGATGGACCCCTGGTGCCGGAGGGTGGACCCCTGGTGCCGGAGGGTGGACCCCTGGTGCCGGAGGGTGGACCCCTGGGGCTGGGGGATGAACCCCTGGGGCTGGGGGATGAACCCCTGGGGCCGGGGGATGGACCCCTGGGGCTGGGGGATGGACACCAGAGGTTGGTGGGTGAACCACTGGAGTAGGGGGGTGGACCCCGGGGGCTGGTGGGGGCAGCTGGGGGGGCCCAGAGGGTGCAGGCCCTGTGGGCGGCATAGGTGGCAGGGGCAGGCCTCCAGGTGGAGGTGGGGGCAGAGCCTCAGGCAGCGGCGGCCGTGGGGGCAGTCCGTTCATCAGGGGTGGGGGTGGCCGCTTTACCCCTGGCGGCCCAGCAGGGAGGCTGGGTGGTGCAGGCGGCTTCTCCATCTTGAAGTGGAACTGCAGGAAGAACTGGGCAGAGCAGGAGGGCCCCAGCTCAGGGGAGCACTGTGCCGGACCCCGCCTGTCACCCTAAGCCCGGGACCTCTGAGCACAACGCACCTGCTTCGTCTCTCTGTTCCAGTGAGTCCAGAACTTGCCCTCGGCCTTGTCGATCTCTCGGCTCGGCACCTGGGTGGGGAGAAGGGTCAGGGACTGCAGGGCCACGAGGGCCACGGCTGGGGGAGCACACAGGGAGGCGGCCGGGCCCTGGATGCCTGGGGAGGATCTGGGCAGGAGGGGCCGCAGTGGGAGTGGGGACACGCCTAGGTTTCAGGAAGCTGTGGCTCAGATGCTGGTTCTGTCACACCAACCCCGACAGTAGTGTTGTTGGAGCTGCTCTCTAACACCCCCTACCCCAGCTTTGTTGCCGGCCCCTGTGAACAGCACTGCCTGTCTGTTACGGGGCCCGTCCCTGTGATCCCTCGCACTGCAGGGCAGATCCAGGTGCTCAAACCATCTCGGGTGCCCCGTCTTTGTGGGCAAAGTGGGAGCACTAACAGTACCCATCTGGAGGGTGGGCTCCCCCTATGTGGCCATCACCTCTCCGCTCCCACGTCCTAAGGGGGAAGAGACCTTGGGCCTCGCCTCAGCCCCACCTTGAAGGCGATGGTCTCGTAGGGCTCGGCGGCCATCAGCAGGTACTGCCAACGCCTGTCCGGGGGCTCGATGCGCTGCTCGTAGGCGGACATGAAGCGGTGCCGCGGAGTGATGCCCTCAGCAATCTCTGGGTAGTCGATCTGGGGGCACAGTGAGTGGGCAGCACCCTTCCAGAGCCACCCCATGTAAGGACAGAGCCTCAGCCGGCACAGGACAGACTCACCTGGAAGAGGAGGCTCTGCTGGCCCACCTCCGTGTCTCTCTGCTTGGTCACTGTGAGGGCACAGGGCGCAGGCTAGATGGCTTGCTCTCCTGGAGCTGACGCCGTGGCTGGGAGAGCACCTTGCGTGGCCACTGCACTTACCCAACCGAGGCGGCTGGGAGCTGCATGGGGCCATGAGGAGGGCAGGCCCTACCCAGACCTCTGGCTATCGGAGGGACGTAGGCCAGCAGAAGGGGTCTCCTTTACCCCGCCTCAGGGCCCTGACCCCATCAGCCTCAGCTCTCAGCCCCTCCAGTGAACACTGTCCACCTGGGGCATTGGGTGTCCCCACTTCAACACTTGGGCCAGCACCGAGTTAGGTACTGGGGACTGCAGGTGTGGCTTGGGAGCCTTTCTGCTGGAACAGGGCTACGAAAGAACCCATTCACAAGGGCCACCTGCCGTCGCAAACAGACTCACCTTTGTAGCCAGGGCGGCCAATTTTCACAAACTTCTTCACCTCGACCTTGACCTTCTCTGGTGCAGGCTGGGCTGGGGCCTCCTTCGCCTCCTTGGCCGCTCGGCGAGCCCTGCAGGTGGAAGGACAGGGTGCTTCTGTCATTCCTGCACCCACGCTCCTGAGGCTGTAGACCAAGTTTGGGGAGGCACCCACATGACCCCAGACAAGTGACTGTGCTCCCCGGCAAGGACGGGCAAGGGGAGTGTGCCAGAGGTAAGGGGGGGTCTTCACCTCCCCAACCATGCCATCCCTCCTGGAGAGGCTCCCGTCTTATCAAGGACACCTGACTTGGCACCAAGACATGTTGGCGCAGACGAGGTGAAGACGCCCCAGCCCCTGGTGGGCTCCAGCAGGGCTCCTGGCTGTGGTAACCCCGCCCCCGATGTGCCAACGTGCCCCCTGGATGCAGAGCCCAAGGCTGCAGTACTCACAGGTTGGTCTGATGCTTCTTGCCCTGGGTGTGTGCCAGGTAGCTGCCCTGGAGGGAAGGGAAGCAGGATGCAAAGCAGGGAAGGGCGCCTTCCCGGCCCGCCCAGGAGTGGGGGACACGGAGACCATAGGAGCTGGCCCAGGCAATGACACGTGGGACAGACATGAGCAGCCTGTGGGCCTGGGACGGGCCCTGGGAGGGTGTGCGCCTCGTGGCAGAAAACGCAAACACAACAGAGACCACCGATGTCTCTGATGCAGGGCACAGGCAGTTTGGGGGCCAGGGTTGGAAATGAATGATGGGAAAGGCTGCTCAACATGGGGATGAAACTCATGTCACTGAAAGACAGAGACAGAGACTGGCTGTTTTTTTTTTTTTTTTTTTTCCGGAGGGGGTGTAGGAGCTGGCCAGGCAGGGCAAGAGGCCCAGCAGGGGTGGAGGGCTCTGTGGGGCTGCACCTCATTGTTGTGGAGCGTCAGGCAGAGCTTGCACTCGTAGGATCCCAGGTGGTTCTTCATGAAATACGGGTCCTGGAGGGGGTCAAGGGACAAGGCTTGCATCTGACAGAGGTCCCTGCTGAGCCAGGCCTGCCCCACGGCCAGGATATCCTGACACATCTGGTCCCACCACATCACCCTCTCTCCAAATTGGTGGTGACTAGAGAGGCCTGTTTTTGCCTGTCAGTCCAGTGGCACCCAAGTGTAAGACCAAGGTGAGAACCACCATGGCCCATGTGCAAGGCTACATGGCATGAGGTCACCCAAACTGAACCAAAGTCACTGCTGTCGAGTTGACTCATAGCGACCCCTCCTTGCGTTGCCGAGGTAGTATCATTACAGAAGCAGATTGTCCCATCTTCCTTCTGAAGAGTGGCTGGTGGCAAGAACCACCAGCCTTCAGGTTAGCAGTTAGATGCCTTAGGCACTGTGCCACCACAGCTCCCGGCAGTCACCCCGGCAGCTGTTAAAATGCAGATCCCGACTCGGAGGGGGACCTGAGACTCCACTCCGCACCCTCCGTCCGCTCTGGGGCAGGGCTGGGGCTCAACACGCCCCACTGCCCAGGTGCTCTCGTTGCCCGCCTCAGCCCACAGGCGGCAGCACCGCCTCAGCCCGCGCCTTCTCCACGCTTCAGCTTCACTGACAAGGTACCGAAAGCCGTTCAGGCCCAGGCGTGATATCTATAGGCCTCGCCCAGTGCCTGCTGACAGAAGAGGAAGCCGCTAGAATCCACCGCAAAGCTAGGGGAGCCTGGGGGCTTACGAGGACCTCGAGAGCTCCACCTGCTGGCCACTGCAGAAGCCGGAGAGTGATGGAGGCCGGTCCTGTGGCCCCTGCCTGCCCCATGCCCTCCTTGTTGACGTTGATGGTTTTTAAGACCCCCCCACAGCCCCACTCGTCTGCCCATGCCCACCTTGTTGATATCGATAGTTTCAAGGGCCAGCTGCCGCAGGCGCTCCCTGCGGTCACGGTTGCTCTCCGAGGAGGAAGCCACGCCCCCACTACCGGTCTTGCCGCCGGGCCGGTGCTGGAAATCCATGGTGAGGGTTTCAGGGCTTCAACGGACCAGGAAAATACTGGGGAGCAAAAGGGAGGAGCTATGAGGTTTAGGAAGGCAACACTGTCACTGGGACGCATCTTCCTCTCCAAGCTCCTCAGAAACCCCAAGGGACCAAGCGCCCTCTGTCCTTAACCAGGGTCTCCTGGGAGGCTGAGCCAGGCTTACAGAAACACAGGGCCAGAATCTGCTGGACCTAGAGAAGCCCCCCCCCCCCCCCCCCCCCCCCCCCCCCCCCCCCCCCCCCCCCCGGGCCAATCACGGTCTAGTGACCTCAGTATGGGAGAGGAAGTCACTCCAGCCAGAGAATATAAAGGCCTTGCCTGGAGACTGGTAATGTTAACGCTGGGCTCAGAGGACCCTGCATGGCCAGGGATGATGAGCCCTGAGGGTCTCAGAAACAAGCCTCACCTCCTCCAGGAAGCCCTCCCAGACTGCCCAAGTCCACGGCATTAGCATTCATGCCTTCCTCTGAGCTCCCTTTCTGGTCGGCTACACTTACTTTCACCACTTAAATTCTGTCTTCCTGGCTCTGTGGTCAGCCTCCTGGAGACAAGGAAGACGTACCTCTGGGGTCTTTCCTGCTGGATGCACAGAAGCCAGCCGCTGTCTGTGGGCGAGGGGCCTCCTGAGTGCTAACTACCCCCTTCCACACCCTTGCGGTCCCTTCCCGTTGTGCACCCATGCTCTCTACAGCTCAGCTCAAAGCCAGCGCCAGCGCCAGGCAGCATTCTCTGACTGCCTGACACGTGGTTCTTGAGTGTTTGACGTCTGTCCCTGCTAGGGTGGGCTCACAGGGCCAAGGGCCAGGAGATGGAGTGGCTGGTGGAAGAATGCATCCCCCCACAGCTGTCCCGGTGCTATGCTGTGGTGAGCAGGACTGTGGATGGGATGATGTGAAGGCTCTTCAAAAGAGGAGATGATCCTGACCACCAGGGTAGCCCACTGCGACCACAGGGGTCCTGAGAGAAGTAACGACGGAACAGGGAAATGAAGATGCTACCCTGCTGGCTCTCAAGATGGAGGGACATGGTGAGCTCAAGGAGCTGGAAGACAAGGAAACCGACTTTCCTGGAGCTTCTGGAAGGAACCAGCAAACACCGGGACTTTTGCTCACTGCAACTGACTGCAGAAGAAATCTGTGTGAAGTCACTGAGTGTGCGGTGAGTGGCGGCAGCCACGGGGGACCCACTCCCTGACCACCATCATCCTGATTTCAACTCCACGCCCTCACCCTAGCCAGGCCTGAGAGGTGCCAGATGCCACAGCACATGGGCCAGGGCCACCGCTCCCTGACCCACGGCACCTCGATCTGTACTCAACTGCTCTGTTCTTCATACAGACATGAAAAGAGCCGACGGAGAGCTCAATACACCATCCTGTTCACCTTCCTAATCCAGAACCGCAGTCTCCTGTGTGCAGAAAGGAGGCCGGAGGCACTGCTGCCACCTGGCTCCAATCCCAGCTCTGACGACACCTGGGAGACTTCTGTGCACCACTTAAGAGCCCAAAGCTGGTTCCTCACGGATGTAGGAACACCCGCCACTGCCACTGCTCCTGCCACTCCCAACCCATCAGCTTGTGATAAAAATAAAGAAGTCACTGCATGAACATTTACATCAGGTAGATATACTCCTTGGAAAGATCAATCATGGGAGAACAGAAGGGCAGGAAGAGGTAACTACAGGGAGGAAGTGTCACACTGTGGGGAATTGCAGTCAATGAAGCAACATGTATGAACTGCTGTATGGAAAATGAATTTGCTCTGTAAACTTTCACCGAAATCACAACAAAAATTTAAAACAAAGAAACAAACGTATAATGCCAGCATAGAGGTATCGTTAATGTCCTCAACGTGAGAAGCCTTCCTGTACTAAACACTACAATAGTAGGCCAAGTATGAGCAAATCACATAAAAACAAAAACCTGCCCCTGGAATGTAAAAATGAAATGACTCACACTACAATGCCACAGGTGAACCTGAGAGAAAGAAAGAGCCCAGCACATCTCCTGAAGACACGATGACAGAACAGGAGGAAAAGCAAGAACAGAGATGGAATTCCAGAGTGCAGAGAGAAAACAGCAGGGAATATGATCAGAGCGTTATCCCAGAGACACAAGAGGCCTGATGAGGGATGTTACACCACCAAAGACCAAGGGAAAACCTCAAGACTCACCTACACAGACAGAAACCAGTCACCAACAGAGGTCAGAACCCAGAATGAATCAGCCCTCTTAAGAACCCTGGAAGCTTGAAGCCAGTAACAAATGCCTTCATGAAACTGAAGAAAATATATTTTATACCCAGCCAAATGTCTACTTTGGGACTCTCAGTGGGAGGGTAAAACCATTTTCAGATAGTCAAGGACTCAGAACAAACAAAAACCCCTCACTATTGTCTGGAAAGCAATCGGGATTTTTTTGATAGGTGGCAGAGATGCTCAGATGGAGAGCGAAGCTGACCCAGAGAGCCGTAACGGGGAGTTTGGGGCACTATCTCCACTGCGAGGCTAGACAGCTACCAGTGGACACCGGAGAATAGAGATCTGGGAGAGATCGAGCGGGGGGTGGGGGGTGGGGGGAGATAAAGGAACTGATTTGTTCAAATGCATGGAAGACACAACTGCTACGTGTGGGAGATGTTAGCATTTTCAGGGAAAAATTAATAATGGGTACAAAGAAAACAAGGCAAATAGGAATGAGAAAATTACTGGCTTAGGGGGAGGAGTGACACAAGACAATAAATAAGCACATCTGAATACCCTACTCGGTCTAGCAGCAAACAGGCGCTTCACACCTCAGCAACCTGTGACGTAATGGAGTATCGTCCAGAACTGATAAATCAAGATGAGAGTACTCTCTTCACCAAAGAAAGGACCAAGAGGGTCACCCTCGAGAACTGAGGAGAGGTGGCTTCTGGGAACTGGGATTGGGCAAGAGAGGTTACAGGTTCTGACAGAAACACAACTATTTCCTTGTTAGCTGGCGTCTTTGTAGTGTTCCTTATGCAACGGAAGGCATCTGCTGCCTGGTCCCGTGCCATTTCCCGGATGGATGGACTGTTGGGAGCACAGGGTTCTCACTGGCTGGTTTCAGAAGCCGATCCCCAGGCCTTTCTGCCTGGTCCATCTCAGTCTGGAAGCTCTGCTGAAACCCGTTCAGCATCCAGCAACACACAGGCCTCCCCTGACAAACGGATGGGTGGTGGCTGCGTAAGGTCACTGGCTGGGAATCCAATGCAGGACCTGCGTGGAAGTTGAGGGCTGTGTGTGGAGCCCGTTAGCTTCTCAATCGCAGCAAACACGCTTCCCCAGGGCACCTCTGGCGGCTTCCTGCTGCTAAAGGCAGATGGGAAGCAGCACATGGCGGCAGTCCAGGCATCAAGGTATGACCACCCAGGTAAGTCATTTAATGTAGGGGCCACTCCCAAAGCAGCGGTGGCTAACATTTCCTGGTTGCTTTCGGGGTATATAGCTCTTATCACCCACATAACCTTTTAAGGACAAATGCGAAGTCAAAGGTTACATACAATCCCTGTGAAAATAGGGGAAAGATGTCCCACCATGACTTTGTTTAGAATTCACTTCGTTGTTGTTGAGTGCCATAGCAGAATGGCCCCACAGGGTCTGCTGAGCTGTCGTCCTAATGGGAGCAGATCACCTGGTCTTTCTCACGTGGAGCTGCTGGTGGCTTAGAACCAGAGACCTTTCAGTTAGCATTTCAGTGCTCAACCACTGTGCTACCAAAATAGAGAACTTGTAACCCTCTTCCAGGGCTTCGAACTGGTTCATTCCAGTTCAAGCCCCCAAGAAGCATTTGCATTTCCACTCCAAAGAGAAAAAAAAACAACCCCACCAAAACCCAAAACCCAACTCACTGCCATCAGTCAATTCCAACTCAAAGAGACCCCCCCTTTGGGTTTCCAAGGCAGTCAATCTTTACAGAAGTAGACTGCCCAGTCTTCCTTCTGCAGACTGGCTGGGGGGTTTGAACCACCAACCTTCTGGAGAGCACTCAGATGCCTTTGGCACCATGCCACCAGAGCTCCCTATTTCCTCTCCAGACGTAGGGAATCAGAATCTACAGTTCACCCGTTTCCCAGATGATTCTTACAGATCTGCAGAGACTTCCACATTTTATACATAAGAATCACCTAGAGAATCTACGGAAATGTACATTCAGATTCAGTGTATCCGGGGTGGAGATGCAGATGCTGGGGGGGGGGGCCGAACCAGAACGAACCGGTTCCAAGCCGTGCCCTCAACTTTCTTGTTTTCCTTAGAAGATTAGCATACAAAGGTGGCCTAGTCCCATCTCTGGGTCGGAAAGATGAAAAAATGTGCAACTATTTTGACCACGTGAAGGCAATGGGCTGCGTCGACTTGGCCATATAGTCAGATCCTTTCATCTCTGCCATCCCAGCAGAGGACTGCGTGTGTTACCTCACGCTCTAGTTTTACGTTCAAAACTTTTCTTTCCTTTCTATTTCTGTTGGCGGGCTGGCTTCACTGAGATTGACTGGGAGTGGATTTCGTTTTCAATAGCTTCCCCAACACTTTATGTAGCCGGGAGCCAGTTATCGCTTGTCCCCCCATCTTGCAGTTTAAGACCTGAGGCTCCCAGGGTTAAGTGCCTCTCACGCGATCGTAAAACCAGTCAACTAACAGAGATAAAAAAGGGCTCAGAAGAGCGCATGGTTACACAGAAGGCGCTCACAACCACCGTAGACACCACATGGGCCCGAGGACGGGTGGGCGCCGGGAAAACCATGGATGAAGAAGGCTGAACATTCACCGGGCGGCAAGAGGTAACGCGACGCGGCCGCCTGCCTGCCCCTCAGGTCGCGCCCCTTAGGTCTCGCCGACCGTCGCAGACACTTCTCTCCCCCATCAGGTCCCCTCTAGGAAAACCCAGGTCCCCAACGGCCGCGGCCCCCGCCTCGGCCAGCCGGCTACTCACCCGCTACGGGGGCCGCCACCGCTTGATTGCGCGCTCGCGCGTCGTAGACTACGGAAAGACTTCCGGGGCAATCGGAGCAAGGCTTCCGTTGTGCGCATGCTCCGCCCGCCCTGAGGCGCTAGCGAGACTCGCGAGACTCGAGGCTCGAGGCGAAGGGGGCGGGGCTCAGAGTACAGGCAGGAAACCGGAGCGCGGTTATGTACAACGCTCTCAACGGACTCTCGATCGGTTCCAATGTACGCAGGACCAGCTATCGAGAGAAGCGTGGGCTGGAACTCGCCCTGAAACGTTATCGTTCCCCTTTGCCTTCTCCTTTTCCTTTCATTAAAGGGTGCCACTAATCTTGAGGGTGGTCTTTGATTTTGTTTCCACCCCGGGTCCAATGTGTTTTATGGTGATTGTCTACTTGTCCCAGTCGTCTCCGAGACACCAGAACCACGCACAGGTTATTGACAGAATGAACAGCCCGGAGTAGTGCGCAGGCGCAATAGCTCAGCCAGCACTTCCGGGGCTGAGTGTTGAGACTTTTTTCGCGCCCGCGGGGACAGCAGCCGGGAGGGCGGCGGCCGGGAATCCGCGTTCTCCCTCCCGGCGGCGCCATGCGCTACAACGAGAAGGAGCTGCAGGCACTATCCCGGCAGCCAGCCGAGATGGCTGCGGAGCTGGGCATGCGAGGCCCCAAGAAGGGCAGCGGTGAGCCGGGGCTCAGGGAATTGGGGCGCATGGTTTCCGTGTTTCGGGGGGTCTGGGTTAACAGGGTGCCTTGGTGTAGCGGTGGACCTTTGGCCTCGCGCCCTGAGCCCTCTCTGCGCCCGCAGTGGTGAAGCGGCGGCTGGTAAAGCTGGTGGCCAATTTCCTGTTCTATTTCCGGACTGATGAGGCCGAGGTAGGGGCGCCGTCCAGACTGGGGTCTTAGGGAGGGCGGGGTTTGCGGTGTCACCTTTGCCTCGTAAGCAGGAACCGGGCTCCTAGCTCTCTCATACATACTCTCCTGGGATCCGCCCTCCTCCTCAAGCTGGAGAGGAAGCTGAGGCTAGGGAAGGGACTGGCGCACTGGGAAATGGGGACCTGCACCCCCATCCCTTCCTTCGTCTGCCTTCCAGCCCATCGGAGCCCTGTTACTGGAACACTGCCGAATCACCCGGGAAGAGCCTAGCGGCTTCTCTATCAGTGAGTGGGGCTGGGGACACTGACATGCAGGGGTCCCCACCGTCCCTTCCCTAGGCGCCCGAGCTTCCATCTCTTCCCAGCCTGGCGCCACCGCTCCCCAGAAACAAGAGGCCATTTTCACCGGCAGCTCAAGGTCAGGCTTTCTGGGGCCGGCACACCTGTCCATCTGCCAAGTCTCTTGCAGGCAGAGCGTCTCTCTGGCGACCTCGCCCCAGACTTTGCCCTCTCCTTGGGGTTCATGGTGGTGGGGAGGTCGGCATCCAAGCTACTGACCGAAAGCCCACCGGAACTTTCTCTTTTGCTTGGGTTAAGCATTGCTCTCGTGGGATGTCTCGACGCCAGCCAGCCCTGTGCTGTACTCCCAGGAGGTTTCTCCCAGGCCCTCTTCTTGAGGTCCATCCAAGTCTGCAGGGGAGCCCAGGACAGGCGTGTGCAGCCCGGTGTGGTTGGGGAGCAGGGAGTGAATGAAGCCAAGGGTGTACCTGGAGGAGGGAGTGTTGGAACTCGCGTTCCAGACAGTTGAGAGTCCACGAGCCAGGCCGTTTGGGTCCCAAAATGCTGGGGTGGTTGCAGGTGGGCCATGGCGTCACCCTGGGCCTTAGGGCAGTGCGGCCTGCGGACTGTGCTTTGGCTCCCTTGAATGGCGTTGGAGCGTGGTGGGTGGTGAGCACAGACGATGAGGGCAGAAAGTGGCATGCCTGACTGGGGCCTCGGGAGGGGTGAGGGTGTGGAAAGTGGCAGCAGGAAGAGGCCTGTGGCCGGCAAGGATAGACGGGGCCGCCCCCCACAGGCTTCGTGGAAGACATAGAGAGGAAGTACCGCTTTGAGTGCTGTAGCGAGGAGCAGTGTCAGGAGTGGATCTCTGCCCTGCGCAGGGCCAGGTAGGGCAGCCGGGGTGGGCCGTGGGCAGGGCATCAGCGGAGCGCCAGATCGCTCAAGTCTGCTGTGTGTCCCTCCCCCGCCCCCCCAGCTACGAGTTCATGCGGAGGAGTCTAGTCTTCTACAGGAACGAGATCCAGAAGATGACTGGCAAGGTGATTGCGGAGCAGGCGGCTGGGGCTGGGGCCGGGCCGGGGCCCGGGCGGGGCGGCAAGCTGCCCTGGGCATCGGGTTCACTGTCCCTGCCCTTGCTCCCCTCCCAGGACCCCCTGGAGCAGCTCGGCATCTCCGAGGAGGCCCGGTTCCAGCTGAGCAGCTTGAAGGCATGAGCCCCAGACTAGTGATGCCCTCCCTGCTCAGGGCTGGACCGGCTCGTCAGCCCTGGGTTTCCTGGCCAGGAAGGGTTTGTGGTGGGAGGGGATTTGAATCCCCCTTGGCCAGGTAGAGTGTAGGGCTGCCTGTTTGGAGAACTGCCCGAGGACTGGCTGGGGCCATGCTGCTGCAGCAGCTGGCCAGCGCTGCCCCCTGGAGGGGCAGGGGTTTGCTCCACAGCTGTACGTGCACTCTGAAGCTGTGAAGGGTGGGGGCCATCCTGCTACCTGCCTCAATGTGAACTCACTCCTGCTGACGGGAGCCAGTGTGGTGCCCAGGGCTCTGGGCCGGGCCCTACAGGTTGGCCCGTGTGCTTACTGAAATAAACATACCTCTTTTTCCACTGGGCGCTGGTGACATGAATGGGAGGCCAGGATTTGGCCATCTACCACTCCTCCTGAGAGGACATGAGATTTAGGGCCCTGAGCAGGGCGGTATTTGCATGGTGGGGAGGAGCCTCAAGGCCCAGGCACCGAAAGACTGGGACCCCACAAGCCTCTAGCATTCACAGGCCGTAACGAGGAGTGCACAAACGCTATGAGAAACTACTCAATGTGGGCAGGACATGACTTGTACCTAGGCAGTGGAATAAGGAAAGGGAGATTTTGCTGCCATGATCAAGGCCTCCAATCAGATGGCTCTGAATCAAAAAGGAATCCATCTTGGGTGGGCCTGGCCTAATCAGGTGAAAACCTTTTTAAATGGTGGGCCTCAAGATCACAGCAACTGCTGCCAGCCACAGCCCACCTGGGGATGGTTATCCCACCTACCAACCCCACCCCCGGCATGACAAAGAAGGAACACGGCCATTGGACACTATTCAGGTGGAAACAAGTATCTTTATTGCAGCGGCTAGAGGTGGCAGTGCAGAGGCAGGGAGGCTGGCTGACGTCCAGAGGGCAGCCAGCCAGGCACTCGGGCTTACAGACGGGAACACAGGGCAAGGCTGCATTTCTGTCACAGGGATCGAGATGCGAGGAAGGCAGCAGTGAGCAAGCACACTGTCCCCACCAAGGGCTGAGCAGGGGGTGGCCCGCGGCACAGATAAATAAGGGCAGGACCTTAAATAAGTCAGTTCACACTGGGCTACATCCAGGGTGAGACTGGTTCCTGCAATCCGCAGGTCCAGGGGTGTGTGTATGGGGGGTCTGTGAGGGCCACTGGGAGTCTGACTCGATTCCTGAGCAAGAGCAACTTCACAACCAGCTTGCTCCCCTGAAGTTGCCCCCAAGCCAACAGCAGCACCGAGTCCCAACCTAGAGCTACCAGGAGCAGCCTCCACCTGCCCCCAGCAGCCCCACAGTGCGCCAAGGGAACAGGTGTTCCGGTGGCATTAGCTGCAAGGGAAGTTATCTAGTGTTGTGTACAGTGCCAGGTGTAGCTACAGGGTGTGTGGTCACGTGCAGCCCCCTACCTGTGGGCCCTCCCAATACTCAAGTGGTGTCCAGGCTGGTTCCATAAGAATAGACTATGGCACTTCAGGGGAACCCCACACCCTGCCTGGCTGCGTGCCCTCGGATGGGGTGCAGTGGTGGACTTCCTTGACAGCATGGACAATTTCTGTTAGCCTGAGGCTGCACGCCACCATGACCCCTCTCCTGGACAACATGGGGACCTCATGGGAGAACCCAGCAAAGTGGCACCCAACGGTTGGAGGGGCTGCAGCGTAAGGCCACCAGGCAGCACCAACATAGGCAGGGGGAAAGGGACAGCTGGGTTTAAAACCAGGTGGACAGCACCATCTTCACATCCCAGTGATTAGTGCTGGAGGTGGGGCCAAAACAGCTCTGGGTGTCAGGGTGGGAGGGGGCACATCACCTGGAGCACCTGCCCCGCCCCACCCCACCCCAGGCATCGCCTTCCAGCCTGGCCAGGGCGGGTGGGCAGAAGCCCGAGGCTCTCCCACCTTCAGGAAGAAGCTGCAGGAGCAAGCAGGCATTCAGGGAGGATGGGGCCACCCCGTCTGTCTGCTTGCAGCTGACCTCTCGCTGACACTGATCAGGTTGGCAGGTTTGGCCACCACCTGCCAGGGAGGGTTCTGAAGGGCCAGAGGCCCTCACTAGCATCCTTGAGAAGTACCTGGGACGTCCCTGCCCCGAGCCCACACCCGACACGTCTACTCCTGAGCACCAACACCGACGAGACAAGGCTGCTGGCGGGGTGGGCGTGGGGCAGGGCCAGAGGGTTCCCCTGTCCCTCCCGGCCATGTGGCCTGTGGTCTGTGGCCGTGCAGGTGGTGACCACAGCCTGGGTTGGAGGCCAACCTGGCCCACACGTCTGTTCACTTAGATAAATAAGAAGGCCCATTTCCCTCCCTCACCCACTTAATCCTTTTTCAACTTTTTTAAAGTTTACTGTGCATTATACAATCTAAAAATAAATGAAATCGAGTCTATGAAATTTATAAACTTTCATCCCGTCTCTATAAAATACTGTCACGGGTCAGCGTGACTCTTCTGTGCGAGCAGCGGGCACACGGCCACCCTGCCTGCGTCCTCAGCAGCGCATTGCCAGCTCCCCGCGCACCCGGAAGCGTGAGCCCAATACAAGCCAAGGGGTACAAAAGTAAATGCACTTGTTACAAAGGCCACCCGAGCTGGGGTGTGCGCCGGGCCCCCCACAGCTACCCCTTCAGGACAGGCTCCAGGGCACCATCCCCGAAAGCCTGGCCGCCCCACACCCAGGTGGCCCATCCATACACCCAACGCCCTGAGGGCAGCACTCACGTCGGGCAGTGTTCACAGTGACGGGATGGGGAGGCCGCGGGGCCCAAGGACAAGCTGGGGCTGACACTTGGGCAAGGCCATTCTCGGGAGAGGAGACCCCTCCTTGAGGAAGGAGAGGAGACACACGGCCCCTCCCCCACCCTGGGCGCGAGCCAGTGTGCCTTTGGTACGTGGACAGTGTAGTGGGGCAGGCGCAGCGGGCGTGCTGGAAGCAGACGTGGCAGCTCGGCCTGCGGAGTCAGCACCAGGAGGGCAGGGGGTGGCGCGGCCTGCCGCCGACAAGATAGCACCGGGCCAGGCAGGCCGCAGCACGGCGGACGGTCCTTCTGCAGGCGTCTCTACAGACATCTTTTGTACAGACGTTTCTATTTCTGAGCGAGCTGCGTGGGCAACTTTGATGAATAAAATAGGTCGGAGTTGGTTTTCCTTTTTAAAAAACGATAAATACTTTATCTAAAACTATCAACGCGTACGCGGGAGCCGCTCCCGGGCCTGGCGGCGCTTGGCGGTTCACAGTAGCTTCTCCGTCTTGTCGCCTCCGCGGTCCAGTGGTGGCCCTGCGGCCGCGAGCACCAGAGCAGCGCACGCGTTGGTCCACGCCGTCCTTGCATAGTCGTGCGGCTGAGGTAGAAGTCCTAGTTACCTGCGGGCCAGGCAGTGGGAGAGAGCAGCATGTGAGCACTGGCCCAGGACACCAGGTCGCAGCTGGCAGGGGCAAAGTGCGATGGAGACCACCAGCCTCACCGAGCACAAGGCGGTGCCCAGGAACCTGGCCTCCACCAGGGCCCACCAGTCCCTGTGCCTGGTGAGCAGGCGTGGGCAAGAGGGGGCTGGCCCCCACCCGTCACTGTTTGTGGGGTCTGCAGGCCACACCAATAAGCTGCCAACTGAGTGGAACAAGCTGGGAGGCCCCCAAAGGGGCCTAGGATGGTGACATAGAGACTGATGCATGCCCCTCAGCAGGCAAGAGAAGCCCGGGTCAGCTCCGAGCATCTGTGCCCACCTGTGCGTACTGGTGGGCCTGAGGCCAGAGTTCTCCACCTGGGCCTGCCTCAGGACTGGGGGCTTACAGGAGCCACCCCCCTGAGGGCTTGCCCAGCAGGTGCACCGCCACCACCTGTGCCTGCTGCTCTGGCAGAGGCTGTGATAGCCCAGTCTGGGCCCGTTGCCACTGCATGTCACCATCGGGGAGCTCAGTCAAGGTCACATCATAACTGAGTAGCAGTGCAGTTGGCTGTTACTGCGCGCACGGCCACAGTGTCACTGCACATCACTGTTGAAGAGTGCGGTCACACTCTCAGAGCTCTCTCACTCACAAGCCCTGGGCTTGCCCGATGTGTGGGGCAGGCAGAGGGGATGAGTGGGGTGCGTTGCTTGGAACGAGATGTTTTATGCTGATAGGCACTGGCTCGGCCCCACAGAGCAGTGTCACAGGATGGCGACCTCCAAAGGCTCATATCACCAAAAAGTCATAGCCTCCATTCCTTTTCTGTCCCGGAAGGACGGCGCTGTCTACACTGACCCCACATGACCTTCAGGACTCAAGAGTTCCTGAAGCCATCAGCAACAGCCCAGACAGCACTGCAACCTCAGCTCACAGGGTCCATGCACCGCTGTGTGCTAGCCCACGGTGCCCAGAGCACAGCCCAGCAGCCTCCACTGGCCACGCATCCCAGGCCCAGGGCACCTAGAGGCAGTGACCTTGTCCACAGCACAGAACAAACACACACTGCCCTGCGTGCACCCAAGCGCCTGAATATGCTCTGTTACCAGGATCCCAAGCTGCATGTGGGCAGTGGGCCAGAGAGGGCCCAGGCAGAGGCACAGGGCCAGTCCACCTATCAGACGTGCCTGGTGCTGGTGATACCACGAGGTGTGACTGGGCAGAAGCTGTGTACTGCCTAGGGCACCAGGCCTGACACACCCACTGAGGCCCCAGCTCAGTGAGGACAGAATTCAGGACCTCAAAGGGCCTCACCCAGATGGCACCACCCAGAGATCCAGTGGGTGTCAGCCCCACGTCCCCACCTCTGCCCATGTACCGCCCAAGATGGGCATCCTCCCACTTCTGCTGTGGAATCAGAGCCACTGACAGACGACGCATCCCTGGCCCCTGGCTCCAGTTCTCATCACAGCACCTTCTCCTTCCAAGCACGCTGGCTCCCATCTCCCTGGCTTCCTCTTGTTCCTCTGCGCCTCTCAGAACCAACCTATCGACTTAAGCTGAAAGGCCCCCCCATGGCCCGCCTGCACCCTGCAGCAGGGAGGGTCCTAATTCCCATAGGAGACACCTTGTCCGGCTCTAGCCTTACCTTACACAATACGAACGGCTAGCTAAGCAAGCTCTTTATCGCGGCTTAACCCCCGAAAGGTGCGCGGCATAAGGAGGCGGCATGCCAAGGGAAACCCAGACCGCAGAGGGCGCGGCGGGGCTGGCCTGCGGGAGGAGGGGCGCGGCCTGCGCCAGGGCCAGCCGGGGCAGAGGCTGGTGGTGGACCGTGAAGGAGGGGCGGGAGGCTTTGTGCGGCAGGGCAGCGAGCTTGACAGACAAAGAGGCGTTAGCGGGCGGCAGGGCAGCGGCAGAGACGGGGGGCAAGAAAGCGTGGTTAGCAGGGAGGGACGCGAGGCTCTGCAGAAGCACAGGCTCTGAGTTAGGCGCCAGCAGCGGCGGGGGAGGAGGCAAGGCGGTGTTAGGCGGAGGGGGCGGGGGAGGGGGAGGAAGGGGCGGCCGGCCCAGGTGCTGAGCAGGAGGCAGCGGGGGTGGCCGGGTCTCGACAGAGGGCGGGGCCTGAAAGGAAGCGGCGGAGGTGCTGGCTAAGCTCAGCGTGGCGCTGCCACAGACAGCCCCGCTGCTGAAACTGGCTCCGAGCGGATGAGAAGAGGCAGAAGGCACCGCGTGGTTAAAGACACCTGCAGACAGGAGAGAAAAACGCAGCTTCAACCAGCGGCATGTCCCAGCAAGCGAAGGGAGGCGCACGCAGGCACAGCCAGCGGCCGGGGCGGCACCTGTGCGGGGTAGAGCAGCAAGCGGCAGCCACAGCGCACTTACCTGTGGGCTCAGGAGCCCCCAAGATGGGCTGCCCAGTCAGGGCGGCGGCTCCCAGGACCACACTCCTCTCCCCAGTCCCTCCACGATGAGGCGAGAGGGCACCGCCCACCCCAGGCTGCAGAGGTCTGGAGCCTGTGCTCCGCCCCCAGGGACCACAGCCAGCAGGTCCATCTGTGGCCAGCATGTGTGGACCTCCTACAGACTAGATCTCCCTAAGAACAGCTGACAAGACTGCCCACAGAGCCCCTCCACAGGGAGGTAACTCCCTGGCTACGAGCGCCATGCCCAGCCTGACCAGCTCTGGTCAGAGGTCCATCTCCACCCATGAAATAGCCACACGCAAAGAACAAGACGAGTCTCGACCACAGGAGAGAGGCTGCCAGCGGGCCCCACCTCTCCCGGTGATGCTGGAAGGGAACGCCAGAGTGGTTGATGGTTACGTCTGCCGACTGGAGGGGTCTGGAAAATGGTGAGTGGAGCTGAGCCTGCCCAACGAGCCCCAGGGCCAGGCACCAGCAGAGACCCCAGCGGCGAAGCGCACTGCGCCTACCTCCGACAGTTCCGCCCGCGACTCCAGAAGAGAAAGTGCCCATGGCATGTGAGTTGGTGAGCCGGGTGGCTGCAGATGACACGTGCACCAGGCCTGCAGCGGCCGGCACAGCACTGAACAGACTCTGCAGCACGGAGGAGCCCGCCACTGAGCCCAGGTTGGCCTGCAGGGACATGGGGCCCAGGGCAAACTGCGTGCCAGGGGCAAAGGTGCCCAGGAAGGGGCGGTGCGTCTGGGTGGAAGGGCCGTGAGTGCCCGTGGAGGATGCCGCTGAGGCCAGGCCTGGGCCGCTAAGGAGGCCTCCAGGAGGCACCGTGGCAGCCGAGATGAAGAGGTTGTGGCCGTGGGTGAAGTCGAGCTCCCGGTCCCGGCCTCGGGGGGCCTTCCCACCGGGCGGCAGCGCGGCCTTCTCAGAGGCTCCGCCCAGGGCTGAGCCCAGCTCACCGGCCTCCCGGGCCTTGCTGGCCTCGCCCTTCAGGCCACTCAGCCCATCCAGTGGCCGCTTGCTCAGGAAGGGGTTGGCCTCTGGAGTGCCAGTCTCCTTGCCCCGCTGGGAGGGGAAGCTAAGCCCGGCCGCTTCAGGGGCCTTGTGGGCAAGAGAAGCACCATCGCTGAAGCTAGGTAAACTGAGGTCAGCGGCCAAGGCCCCACCTAGGGCAAACCCGCTAGGGGCACTGGTGCTTGGGCTGGGCCCGTCTGCCACAGCCAGGGAGCCTGAGAAGCCCTTCCTGGGGTGTGGGGCCCCCTTGGCATCGTTGGAGCTTGGCTCCTCCAGCGTAGGCCGGAATGCAAACAAGGAGTTCTGGCTCAGCGTAGAGCTGGCCTGCAGTGGGCTGTCAGCTGCCTTGGCCAGGCCGATGTCTGAGATGGGCGAGAAGGTGGACTTCCATTTACTGCTGTTCACCTGCTCCCCGGCAGGCACTGGCTTCCTGTTGGCCAGGCCACCACCTGCGGGAGAAAGGGCACAGGTGTGAGACCCTGGCCAGTGCTGCCCCTGCCCGTTCAGAGGCCCTGAGCCACTGTTGATGGGTGCACCCCCTCACTCATCACTGTGTGCACAGCAGAGCAAGGGGCAGGCAGGAGCACAAAGGGCAAGGGAGGGCGGCTGAATGGGGCCAACCGCCTGAGGGAAACGTGCTGAGACTGGTGAATGCTGTGGAGGAAGGAAGACTGCAGGACAGTGGAGCATGGGTGTTTCCAATGGTCGACAACTGGGGGGGAGCATATATTTAAGGAAACACACACAACCTGTCTGACTCGACACGGAAGTTGGGGCTCCTGGGGCTGTGACCCAACCACACATGGCAGCAGGTGGCATGTGGAAACAGCTCCGTCTAAGGACAGGACCAGGCAGCCCCTCTGCCTGGGACGGCTGCTGCTCAGGGAGCAAAGGGCAAAGAGGCGCTGCGACACACTACGTGGCTGGACGTGGAGCATGTGGGGACCAGAGGATTGACCACAAAGACCTTGGGCCTGAGGGTCCCACCCCCACAGCCTGGGACACGTCACTCCCAGAGCCCCTGGAAGCAGGTGGCCAGGGATGATGTGTAACTCACCGTTTTCTAAGGTTTTGGGGGGAGATTTGCTTTCTAAGGAGATTGTTGCGATTTTTCTCTCAATTCTAGAAAGAAAAAGATGAAATACAATGATCAATGTTTATAATCTACTTGCATGCTTACTGACGCTACCGAGACACTACGATGTAACCCAAGAACCTGTTCCTAGGTATCCACCCAGGAAACTGGAAGGCAGGGGTACACAGAGCCAGAGGGGTTCACTACAGCCCCATTCACAGATGGAAACCACCCACACGTCGACCAATGGGGTGGGCACACACACATGTGCCATGCACACACGGGCTGTTCCTCTGCCACAGAGAGGAACAGGGGTCTGACAGCTATGACATGGATGAACCTGACAACATGACGCTGAATGATACATCACAGGACACACAGTGTCTTGATCCCACTGATGTGAAAGATCAGAGAGACAGAGTGGGTCAGTCATAGCTGGGGATGGGGAACAGGAGTGGAGAGTGACTTTTAAAGGGCACAGGGTTTCTTTCTGGGGTGCTGCAATGTTCTGGAATTTGACAGTGCTGCTGCTGGTTGCACAACCCTATAAATGCACTCAAAGCCACCACAGTGCACAATTTCAAGGGGGTCACATATATGGACAGTGTGTGACATCTACCTAAACAGGGCTGCTTGCAACAACAAGCTCCTCCCTCCCAAACCACAGGCTGCACAGCAGTGTCAATGAGAACATGCACCCTGTCTTGCCTAGCCCGTCTCCACCGCCTAACCCTGACCAGGCGTCTGGGCCCACTGGTTACAGAGCAGCTCCACAAAGTGGGCTCCAGCCCAGCCCAACGTGAGACTCAATGAGCCCAAGGAGGAGGGAGGCACCAGGTATCTCCAGGAGATGCTTTCTGGCTGGTTTGCAAACTGCCCATTTCTGCATCTCTCTCTCTCCCTCCAAAGCCCCAGCCAGAGCGGAGGGCCAGAGAATGGATGGAGCTGGGACTCACGAGGGCTTAGACACTGGAGCCCAAGCTACCATCTGACCCCCACAGGAGAGTCCCTCCTGCCAAGTCTTGCCTGGCGCTGCCAGGCTCATCCTCAGAGCCCTGCTCCTCGTCCGATGTCAGTGGGGAGTAGTGGGCCCCATTGGTCTGGCCCAGTGGCTTCTCCTTCGTGAGCACAGGCGGTTGGTCATGGTCCTGGTAAGGGGCAGGAGAACTCTTCAGGGACGTCTCAGGGGACGAGATGGCCGTGATCTCCAGGGGCTGGTTGATGGTGCTGACCTGAAGAAGCAAAAGCAGATGGCTGCTTGCCCTGACAGGATGGAACCCCAGTGGCACTGTACATGCCTGGCCTTCCCAACTTGGGGTGCTTGTGCCTCCCCTCCACAAGGGCCCCGTCCCTCCCACTACCCGTCCCCCAGGTGTCCAGCATCACCCCACCCACAACTGAGATGTCAGCTCCTGATCACCACCCCCATTTCCCTCCACTGGGAACCCTCACCATGGAGTTGAGGTTCAGGGGAGACCCCGAGGACTGTGTGAAGAGCCCGGCAACAGACGGCGGGGCCCGGCGCTTGGGGGACACGCCTGAGCTCAGGCTGGGGGTGCCTGTTGATGAGCGCTTCCTGCGGCCTCGCTTCCGGCTGTCTGGCCCATGGCCCTGCCCGCTGTCCCCACGGGTGCTGGTGGCCAGGGGGCTGTGCTTGCTGGAGGGGGACGGCCGGGCACCACCTGCGCTGGCCGTGATGGTGAAGACAATCCTACGCTTGGCTTCGCTCTCAGGGTCGGAGAAGCCTGTGTCGCAGGACAGGTCAACCTTGGCAGCAGCATCGGACAGCATGACCTGGGAAGGTGCCCCAAGCCGGGGGCTCGCTGAGAGCTGGTGGGCAGGGGAGGCTGGACCAGAGCTGCGGGCCTGGGCCAGCAGGGAAGGGTGCTGTGGTGTGGAGCTACGTGAGCCCATGGAGGCGAAAAGGCTGCCCGAGCCCAGGGACTCGTCAAAGGCAGCTGGCTCAGCCCCAGGGCCCAGTGGAGCAGGGCTGCCCGCCAGGGCTGCACTGATGGCCACCGAGCCGGCGTAGGAGAAGCCTGTGAGAGGGAGACAGGCAGCTCAGGGAGGCTCTGCCTCTGTGCCCCCAACACACACCAGACTCCATGGGGCGGGGCTGCTAGGTGCCAAGCTAGTCTCAGGGTACCTTCTTCAGAGAGCTACCCCAGACAGGAGGCAAGAACCACAGGGGTCCCTTGGGCCAGACAGCCTCCAGTCCCAGGTGTGGGTCTGGAAGTTTCTAGTGCAATTTCACACAAAGTAAAATGAAACTCAGAAGATGGGCCAGCAAACCAAGAGCTTCAGGGTGACATGGGGACAGGCAGGGCAGCAGGGGCCCCAGCTCTTGTCCTGCTCACCTTGAAGCTCTGCCAGCAACTCCCAACAGTGCCCGCACTAAACGTTCCCTGTGTTAAAACCCAGTTGGCAAACTAGGCCCTGGGGGCCAGTCCAGCCCTGCCTGTTTTTGTAAATAAACCATCATGTCTCCCTGTCCTGCCCCAGGGTAGAGCTGAGCACTTGCAAAGCCAAGCTAATCTCCAGCCCCTCACAGAAGGCGTGTGCAAAGGCACAAGCCCTGTGCTAACATTGGGCAGACGTGCGGTGCTGCAGCTAGGGGTGAGGAATCAGGGTGCCACCTGACAGGGCAGGGCTTTGTACACCGCGGTGGCTCAGCCACACTTAGAACAGGAAGTCAGGATGGCAGAGGCCAGTCCCGGAGTCACAGGAGCACGAGCAGACCCCGGCTCAGCCCCGGGTGCTGAGTGCAGAGGCTGTACCTGCGGGGGCCAGGGCCAGGCCTCTGCTTCCAGCAGCACTGCTCGCTCCGCAGTGGGGGTTAGCACCGATCTGCTTGTCCAGGGCGGAGGAAGAATCGCGGCTCGGGGGCACAGGGCTGGGCGTGCTCCTCTTTAGAGAGAGAACACCCCTTGGCGTCACCAGCTGGCTCTCCACAGAGGCTCCTGGGGGGAGGGTCTGTGGAGGGCAGCCTAAGGCAGGAGCCACAGCTGTGGGATGGCCCAAGGCAGAAGGCTGATGGGGTCGGGAGGACAGCAGGCGCCTCAGTGGCTAGAGACGAGCGCTGATCCCACACCAGCGGCCTCTCACGTAGGGCCCTCTGAGGCCTACGTGGGGTTCCTAGTGTTGGGGGGAGGACGGGTCTATGATTTGGTCTTCAAGGTTCACTTTGGCTGCTGGGCAAATGTGAAGCTGGAGAAGAGCCCGTGAGGAAGGGAGCCAGCAGAGTAGGCTGCGGCCTGATTCCTGATGCCACACAAAGTGGAGACCCAGCACGCGTGGCTAAGGTGCTGGGGGTGCTGGCATGGTGGGCTGGTGTGCGTGAAGAGGGGCATAGACACAGGGCTTCCTCTGCAGGTGTTGGAATGCTCTGTTAACTAGGCAGTGGCAGTGATTGCACGTCTACTCAACAGTTCACTGGACGGACATCCCACCTCACCAACCCCACACACGAGGGGCACAGGGGCGGTGCTCATAGCACATCACTCACATCAGTAGAATGGTTGCTGTAACGAGTAGGGGGGGATTCGGGTAGAGGGACACCGTGGCCCCGGAGCCTGGAGAGGCCTATACCGGGCGGACCCACCCGTGACAGCACTCACCGCTCGCTCGGCACGGCTAGGCAGCACCACGCTGGCCAGGGGGATGCTGACCGGGAGTTTGTTGGGCTGCACGGTGCTTAGTGGGATGCTGACGGGCAGGCTGGTGATGGTCTCGCCGCCACTGCCATAGGGGCGCTCCTTTAAGCCCTGTGGCAGACTCCAGTCGTCAGGGCCTGTCCTGGGCAGCCACGTAGGTGACACAGACCCCAGGCCCTGGACAGAGCCTCCACTTGCGGGTCTGTCAGTGTGTGACCTGCTTCCTGCCTGCTCCAAGTCCTGTTCTCCTCCTGGCCTCAACATGGGGAACCACCGTGCTGCATGGCCCTGCCCCATCCCACCACCAAGTCCTCCTGATCGCACACTTCTCATATCCACCTTGTGAAAGCATGCAGAAGAATGGCCACCTTCCCTGACCCCACCGTCCCCACCACAGAGACCTGGTTCGTGACTCAGGGCTCCTGCGTGTACCTTCTCGCCACCCTTCTCTGCTGTCACGGGCAGGGCCGCAGGGGATGCAGGTCGAGGGTCCTGCGGGCTCAGCTTGATAATGTTGGGGATGCCAGGGCTCTGACAGCTGAGGCCATTCTCCTTGGCATGTTCCACACTGAAATAAGAAGCACCAGTCACCCGAGGGCCCCAGGTGACAGAGCGAGCAGACTGCCACACACAGCCCAGTGCTCACCGAGGATGCAGCTCACTGGCGGTTGCTCTCCCATTGACACCAGGGTCCTGGCTCAGGTGGCGCCGCAGTGCTATCTTGGCTGGGGAAAGCCGTGTGTAGTCGGGAAGGGCCAGGCCAGCCAGCCGGTCTGGCCGCGGCCGGCCACCGTGGCTGGGTGTGCAGGGTACCACCTCGTGGTCCAGGGGCGAGGCCAAGTACTGCGGTGTGTTCTGCTTGGACGAGGGATGGCTTAGCGCGCTGTGCAGCTCGTAGCCCGCCACATGGCCGTTCATGGAGAGCTCTGGGCTCAGGCTGCTGAAGGGGGGCAGCGAGAACTTGGTGCAGTCAAGCTCCAGGTGGAGGCGGCCAGGGTCAGGCTCCGGCTCTCGGCTTGGCACACTCTTCCCACGCAGATGCACAGCCAGCGCGTCGTCTGGAGGCATGTAGGACTTGAGCTGCAGGAGCTCCTGCTGCCGTTGGCTCTTTTCCAGCTCCACGATGCTGATCTGGAAGGCAAGGTGAGGTGTTGAGTGCCACCTTGTTGGGTGCCAGGAGCCCAAAACAGAGTGACCCCAGCCAGGGCACCAAAGGATGCACACAAAGGCCAGCTGCCAGAGCCCGGCCAGCTCCGCTCAGGGCAAAGGCCACAGGAGCCAATCGTCACACAAGGTCAGGCAGGCACCCAGACAAAACCACATGCAAGGATTGTGAGTGGTTCTGAGGACATGCACCGACTGACATGAAAGGATATTCCAGAAAAAAAAAAGTGATGAAGAGGTGTAGTATTACGGACCGCTCTGTGACTCTCAAAATCTACACTGAAGCCCCATATGCTGGCTTGTAGGTATGACCCTGCCTGAAAAGAGACGCTTCCTCTGCCATGGAAGAAGGCCATTCGGAGCAGGGTGGGCCCTAGATCTCATTCCTTCTGAACACGGAGAGAGGAGAACAGGCAGCTCCTGTGGCCACAAACCAGACAATGCCTATCAAGCCATGCTAGCTTGTTCCAGCGCTTCTGCTCTGAGGACTGGCAGACAGGGCCTTCCAGGTTCTCACCATGAGAAACCCTGAAACGAACAAGCTGTCCTTGGGAGGCAGCTTTGAATGAGGCCACAGACACTGTGCCCACCTGCAGCTCCAGGCACCGCCGCTGCTTCTCGGAGATCTGGCTCTTCAGGGCCTGCTTCTCCTTCAGCAGCTTCTCCAGGGACAGGGTGGGCCAGTCCAACTTGAGCTCCTCACAACGTGCCCTGAGCTGCCGGGGTGGGAGTGACAAGAGCTGTGTGAGCCCCCGGGTAAGCAGCTTCCCCGGGGCATGCTTATATGGGGAGACAGCATTCCATGCAAAGGGTGGGAAGAGCTCAGAGGCTGGCCCCTAAAGAGGGGGCCCAGCACTGTGTTCCAATCCTGAGCAGGGCAGTGTTGGGGGCTTCCCCTGTCAGGGCAGGGAACTCCAGAGTCTACTGTCTTACAAGAGACCACTGAGATGAGTCCCCACTCTCCCACATTAGAAGCCAGGTGCCGAATGCCCATGTGGCCAAGAATTGTGACCCATTCACTAGGAGGCTCTGGGTGTACACAGCCCACACAGCCCTGAAGGGGTTGGGGGAATCCCCACAGGCTTGGCATGGTTTCTGGTGACTTGTCAGGCCCAGCCCATGGGGGTAGGAGGGCGGAGAGGATCAGGAAGCCAAGCTACTTGGAGAGGCTGCCTTGAACAAAACGGCACGTCTCCTGCAGGCTCCTTGGGATACCAGAAAGCAGGCCCATCTGGTCTGGCTTTCCTTGTGCCCTAGCGTGCACTCGCACCTACAGGCTACTCTGAGAGCACCCCGAGAGCGAGCCTCAGGGTTGGGGGGCTGGCAGCTAGGTGCTGGAGCCAGGCCCCTGCCTGAGCTGGGTGGGTCAGGCATGACGACCCCAATGTGGCACCCCGAGGCACACACCAGCTGCAAGCTCTGGCCCCGCAGGGCACGGTTGTCCCTCTGCAGCTGCTCCGTCTGCTCCCTCAGCTGCCGGTTGTGTGCAGAGATCTCCTTTTGCGCCTGGACCAGGTCGGTGTAGGTCAGGGCCTTCACACCCAGCTGGGGACACAGGGGGGACACACACAGCCGGTGAACCCCACACAGGAACATAGGGTGTCCCTGGGCTGTGGTGATGGAGGCAAGGCTGGGCGTGGGGAGGGGGCACTGGCACGGACCAGGACGGGACTGAGTCCTCATTGGTGGGGGGAGGAGGGGTGGTCTGACAGACACTCTGGGTTGTCCCACTGGGTGACACTCCGCCCAGCCCCAAGGCCCACCTCATCCAGCTTCTGCTGGAAGAGCCGCCTGCTCTCCTCCTTCTGGGCCTGGCAGTGGCTGAAGAGCTGCCGTGCAGCGCCCAGCAGCTGGGCGTTCTTCTCCTGCAGGAGGGAAAGTGGCACTGAGGCTCCTGCCCCGTAGACAGGGAGGGACATGTGGGCCAGGGCTTACAGAAAAGTGCCCAGAACCTCCTTTCCTCAGTTTCACTATGTACATAGCACACACCCCTGAGCTGCGGAAGCTGGAGGCACGAGGCCGTGCTCAGAGCTGCGCTGCCCCAGAAGGCTGGCCCTGACTTCCTGTAGCCAGCGGGTACACCGGCCCGTCCATCAGCCTGGGACACAAAGAAGGGGGCCAGAGCACGTGTATCAATCTGAGGCTGCTCCGGAGAAACGTGGACACTGGTCTCTTGGCCACAGCACACTTACACTTCAGTCACATGTCAGCAACAGCTTGAGTGCAGGTATGAGCAGAGCCACAAGACAGCACCTCTCAATTCAACACCAGTCATGATGCACAAATAGCACGTAAGCGCCAAGGACACTGGAGGCACCCCTGAACCTCAAGATGGAGGTGGACATCCCCTGCGGGGACTATGGACCACCATGTGCACCCTGAGACGTGGCAGAGGACACACTCTGCTGTTAGGAGCGCCTCCTGACACACTGCCCCATCAGCCCAAGGCAGCACTGCGCAGTACCACCTGAGGGCAGGCCCCGAAGCGCCCAGCCAGAGCCCTCCAAGCGTCCAGGCTGTGAGAGGCCAGGGCGGGCGCTGTCCCGGTGACGGGGGGCCGGGCAGACAGTGCGTCATGTAGGCCTCCGGCACCTGGACAGGAGACAGTGCAGGGGCTGGGGTGTCCCCAGGACAGTGGCACTGTGTGAACGTGGGCAGGGAGAAGGGGACACTGTATTAGTGCCACGTCTCCTGACCTGGCATTGGATGCTCCTGGGCAAGGGAAGCAGTCCGTGAGGTGCTCCGGGCAAAGGGCCCGGCAGCATCTGCTGACGCTTAAAGACTCAGAGAGATGAGGTGTGTACACATGCGTGAGTGTGAGTGCATGTGTGAGCACAAATGCTTGCGGAAGTGGAGTGTGTGCACATGGGCATATGTGTGAGGGTGTGTGTGCAGGGAGAGAAGGAAGGAAGGACAATGTGGCAACATGGAAGTGGAGTAAAGGGGCTTCTTTCCGGGCACTTTTCTGTAAGTCTGAAGTTTCATCAGAGTAAAATGACACAGGACACAAAAACCACCCACACCACCCAAGTACTCAAATCCAGGGGGCTAAGATGCAGAGGAGACTGGAGACCACTGCACAGTGAGAGCCACGCCTGCCGGTTCCACAGTCTGTGGAAGGGCCCACAGCAGCACCATGTCTGGTGTGTCCTGGCTTATCCCCTGCACTCCCCATGTCCCCACCAGACCATCCATGACACTCAAGGGCCCGCGGGCAGCATACCACACACCTACAGCACACATACCATTGTGGGATTGAGAACAGGGTAGCTCAACTGTTGTGCGCCCAAACCTGCACTGTCACTGTCACTTACAACCCAGCCCCTACAGCCCTCCTTGATCTGAGTCACAACCTCTTGGCTCACCACAGCCCTCTCCAGTCTGGGCCCTCAGCGTATGTGCACACACACGCGCGCGCACACACACGAAGCCCAGGGTGGCACTCAGTCCTCCCAGCCACAGTGCCCAACAAGGCTCACAGAGCTACGCCAGAGGGGCCACTGTGACACGGACTACCTTCTGCCATGGAGGCACTGGCCCCCCACCCCAAGGCACCTCTTGTGGGGGAGGGGTGGTGCCAGCACTTCAGGTCACCCGCCTAGCCTGCAGCTGCTCATGGAGGCGCGTGGTCCCCAGCAGGTGCAGTCCCTTTAAGAATCACACCAAGGCCCATCCCAGCCCTACCACAGGATTGCCCGTGAGGTCAAGAGGGGCCGTGGATGAGGTGCCTGAGCAGTCGGCTAGGGAGGACACAGCCAACCTGCAGAGCTGCCGTAAGGGTAAGGGGTCCCGGACAAAGCCCTGCACACTTGGTGCTCAGCTGGTGAGGAGACGGGTACTGAGCAGGCACTCACACTGGGCCAGTGCTCAGCGAGTGAGCACACGTGGGGCTCAGCCTTACTGGAAAACTCTACGGCCTGTACAACACCTGGCTGACTGACAAGTGACAGGTGCCCCCTTCCCGTGAGGGGAAGAGGCGCTGGGGACCCTAGGGAAGGCATAGGGCAGGCGAGACTCGCCTTCTCCTGGTCCAGTAGCTGCTGTAGGTTGGCCTTGTACTGCGGGGTCTTTGTGTACGCCAAGAACTGCAGGTACTGGATCTTGAACGACTCTGGGAAGGAGAAAGGGAACAGAGTTCTAGAAAAGTTTGTGGCTGAGAGCAAGGAGGTTTCAGGGGAAATGGTCCAGCTGGTGCTGCTCTGGGGCCAACTCAGCATGGAGCCTGGGGCCCAACAACAGTTCTGAATTCAAGGAGGAGCCTCCCATCGGGGCACCGAGATGTTACGGCTCCATTCACCACGTGCTGTTGTGTGTGGCCAGGAAGGCCACAGTGTACGTGCTGCCTCTCAGGCACTCACCCCAGCTGTTTTAATACCACAGATGTGTTTAAAAGAAAGAGCAGACAAGATGAACCGGGAGCTGGAAGGGGGGCATCCATTGCCCACCCAGCTTGCCATAGGGGAGCCTGTGGGCAGCAGCTGGTGCTGGAGAGCAGTGGTGGCCCTCAGCCAGGCCCCCCATGACATGGCGCTGCTCTATCAGACTTCGCGTCTCAACCACAAGGGCCTTTCAAACCAGTCCCCTGTCCCAAGCCGCCTGAGCCCACCTCAGAAGCAGGTGCTCACCCAGCAGCTTCTGCAGAGCAGGCGGGGTGGGTGCTGCCAGCAGCGGGCTGGACGCGTGCCGCTGCACGGCCGGAGGTAGCTGATAGAACGGGCTGTGAGGTGACTTGTACGCATCTGCGCAGGGAGACAACACAGGGCACGACTCAACGGCGGCAGCAACCACAAACACCTGGGTGCTTCCTGGAGGGACCCCCAGGTTTCAGGGATGCTGCACATGCTGCAGCAGCTCAGGCTCACCCACAAACATTGCGTGTTTCACAGCAGGATGGGCGGGTTGTAATGGCACCAGGTGCGTTTCAGCAGCACGTCCGCACCCACAAACACCTGTGCTCCTTACAGCAGCACCTCTGCTGCTGTTGCTGCCTGTCAGTGGCCCATTTGCAGGGTACCACTGTGCTGCACAGGCTTGTCTAGGCTGTGAGCTTTCGGAAGCAGGTCATCAGGCCTGTCCTATGAAGTGCCCCTGGGTGGGGTTAAACCACCAACCCTTTGGCTAGTCTTCAAACTTCACTGTTCACGCCACCCAGGGAGCCTAGTATTTCCGTTAGAGTTCAAGAATTCAGCACACCCGTGTCTCAGCACCGTTTAAACTGCAGCCCACACCACCTACGGCTAGATGCAACTGCGACCTAAGGAAAGTCCCTCAGCGTTATACTACCCCTGCTGCTCAAGCACACGAGCCGAGCTGTGCAGATTATAGGACCCTGAGCTGGCAAGACACGGCCCTCAAAGAGGCAGAGAGACCATCCCCAAGCCAGGACCCTGGCTCCCCAACCATCAACTCAAGGAGCACCCCGCTAGCCTGGACCACGCACCCTGAGGTGAGGACGGGGCGGTCTGAGGCGTGGTCTGCGCGTGCAGGAGGTCCAATGCACCCTGGCTCTTCTTGGGCCTGCGCTCCGAGTTCGCAGTGCTCATCTTCTTGGGGCGCCCACGCTTGCGGCCAGCCATCTTCCGTCCCTTCTTATTCAGCTTCTTCTTCCGGGCTTTGGAGGGGGATGGCTTTTTGACAGTGGTGGCCCCGGCTTTCTCATCCTCAGCACCAGAGTCCTGGAGACATGAGGGGAGAGGTGGCCTAAGCCTTGGGGTGGCTCCGGAGGAGAGAGAGGGTGCTGCCAAACCACAGGCGCCCTGGAGTGTGGAGCCTGCACCCAGTGCCAGCTGGCACACACCTGCCCACCCTCTGTTGTCTGAGTCTCTGCCTCGGCCTATCGCTGTGAGGATGGGCAAGTTCCCCAATTCCATGACGACCTGCAGGGCTGCTGAAGACTGAGGGGAGGGAGGCCAGGGTGCGTGTACCATAGGGGTGTCCGCGGGGACCGCTGCCTTGCTCTCCTGGGCCTTGGTCGGAGTGGTCGTGTTGCTCTTGTTCTCACGTTGCTGCCGGCGCCTAGCTGCCTCTTGTTCCTCCTGAAAAAGCAGCAGCACGTCTTCCCTGGGAAGTGCCAACACCCACAGGGGACTCGCTGAGAGAAGGGTCTGCAACCCTGGCTGAGGGGAGTAGCCTCTTTGCAAATCTTTCTCCTCAATTTACATGTAAGGAAGCTGAGGCCACCTGGCGGCAGGGCTGGGACTACCCCCAGGTGCTGCTATTACACATGTAACCAGGCCTTGGGCAGTTTGCACACACCTGTGCACACACAGACACTGCACGCTCACACCTGTGCAGACACCTTCACACTCCCACCTATGCAGATGTGCCGGGACCCATGAGCAGTTTTGAGTGCCCTCTGGATCTCAGGCCACAGAAAGGCTTAATAGCACACTGAGGAGAATCAGGCAGATACTCGGGCACACAGATGCCCCCATGGTGGACCTCTGTCCACCAGAGTTTATGTTCTTTCTAAACACATCATGAGAAACACCCAGAAGAGGAAGGGAAGCAAAGGGAGACACTAGCCAGCCAAGGCAGGAGCTATTAGCACATGAAGACCAAGTCAGTTGCCCATGGTGCCAACAGGGAGGAGGAACTGAGCTGTCGCCCTTCCTGGCCCAGCCTCCATCTAGAAATGCCACAGAGGCTGGGGCAGGCTCTCCCAGGAAGCTCCTTCACACCTACAGCATTCAGACAGGTGTCCTGTCGGCTTTGGAGACAGACAAACAGGCAACCATGAGCACCATCGAGCGAGAGGAGGTAGAGGACTGGCAACCAGGACACCAGAGCCTGAGTCAGAACTGGCCGCTTTCCACCACCAGTGGTGCAGGGCCCTGTCGGTTGAGGGGCCGGCAAGTCATAGTCTGCTGACACTCGTTGTCCACCCATGAGGAAGGCATGGGACATTCTCACCTAACCTGGCAGACCCGTCAGAGCTCTTTAGACATGTCCTCCTGTGCAATGCACTACAACTCACTCACACACACACTCTCAGAGAAACAGTAGTAGGTACACTTATGTAATGTACACACACTTGCAGGAAATCAGCTACACTCACATACACATGCACTCTTACAGAAACAGACACCCTGAGACCTGCACTCACACACGTGCACACACATGCACATACTCTCACAGAAACACAGATACACTGAGACACAAGCATGGCTTTGATGGAATCTGGTAGGTGAGGCAAAGCCCTTGTTCTCAGAGCACAGGATGGGGTAGTGGTGAAGGGCATCCGTTCATAGACCCCTGCTCACTGATCTGTGGGACAGACCCTCACCCTGCCTCACTCACTCTGCCAATGCTGTTAAGCCAGGAGACCAGAAACACACTTACCCTGAGTTTTGGATTTTTCAGACTAGAAAAATAGTTTTCAAGCTGAAGAAAAAGAATTAAAAAAAAAAGTTGTTATTTGAAGTCAGCCCCTGAATCTATCAGAACAAAATCAACAGCTAAAACCAAAGGCCCCTGGACTGAGTGTCAGGGAGGCCGTGTGACGCTACGGACAGCCATCAGCCCTGCATCAATGGCCATGCAGCTACAGCTGGCCCCACACCCTCGGCCCACACTGGCTCAGAAGGCACATGACATAGGAACGTACCTTCCCATTTGGAAGAAGGAGCTTGTGAGGATATGTGCTTTGGCCCAGAGACCCATAGCCCCTTGCTGAGGGTGAGTGACAGAGTTGGGGGGCTGGACTCCAGGAAGAGATATGGCAGCCACAGGATAACCCACAGGGCCCCACACCAGTGTCTGGGAGGGCCATTCCTGGTGCCTTCTGGCTCTCAAGGTCAGGTGTGCACAGAGGGGTCGGGAGGACCTGGCCCCATCCGCAGGCAGTGTGGTACTCACTATAGTTCGGTCGATAGTGTGCAGGTAGTAGGAGACCGGCTTCCCCGTCCACGAGACGGAGCCCTTCAGGGGCGACAGCTCTACGACTCGCATGATGGTGCCAATGTCTGCACACAGGAGAGGTGAGGGCTGCAGGCGGGCTATCCTCGCAGTGCCACACCCAGCCCCCACGCTCCCGCAGAGGCCCGCCCGCACTGGGTGGGGAGCCCAATCCGGCAGCTTCTGTCAGAGAAGAGGGCGGATAAACCCACAGAAGCTCCGTCTAAAATAAACGATCTGAGGACATTTCGCAGCGTGGCCAAAGCATGTCAAGGCCCTGACTGAAGCAGGCGATGTGGGCTGTGCATCACCACAGGGTTGCAACCCCTAATGCTGTGGGTGCATGCTGCCTGGTTCCCCAGGATGGACACCATGGGGCCTCTGTGCACACCCCAGGCCTGCTCAGGTCCCTGGAGCCCGGATTGACAAGGCTCGGTCACCTTAGTTCTATATAAGCTCCTTGGTGAGCAGGTCTTTTCAGGGGGACACTGGGCAATGTCTGGGTACCTTTGTGGGTGTCACGAATAGGGGTGTTGGTAGCGAGCAGGTGGAGACCAAGGATGCTGCTCAATAACCTACAGTGCACAGGGAGTCCCCACCCCAGAGAAGGATCCGCACTGCCAGGGGAGATCACGTGGTAACGGTTATTAGATTAAACTGACATGTAAACAGTGTTAACAAAAGCAGCTTCTTACCACTCAAGTTTCTACTGTTTATTCTGAAGTTCAGAGGTGCAAAGGGTTTTGAGGACACGATTCTGCCGCCTGAAACATAAACGCTAATTACTGGCATTCTTGTGACAAAGCGTATACACGTGTGCAGGCATGCGTGCAGCCAATCATGAAGCGATGACAATGCAAAAGAAGGGAAGTTAGGAAGGGGCTAGGAGACAGGGGGTGACCCTATGGGACTCTGAGCACACTCATCATGGAGTAAACTTCTGAGAGACAGCTAGGTGGTGGGACACGTTTGTTTTTACAGTGTTCTCGTGCCTCAAGGAAGCTGAGCAAACGGCAGGAGACAGGAAGCGCGGTGGAGCAGGGAGGCCGGCCCAGATGGAGATGCCTCCCCACCACAAGCTCCCTGTGGGGGGGGTCCATGGGAGGACAGCTGGGCTGTTCTCAGAATGGACACCCACGTCAAGCAGGAGACAGACAGTCAAGATCAGGCTCCAACATAAGACTGGAAAAGCCAGTCTGGAAAGAAAAGCTCAAAGAGGCTCATTGTGGCTGAGGATGACTGCAAGATGCTCCAAGAGGGACAGAGCCCACCCTAGCCACCGCAGCCTTCCCTGACAGGACAGAGCCACCGTGACTGCTGCTGGCTCCTCTGACCAGACAGAGCCTTCCCCAACCACCGCAGACTTCCCTAACTGGACAGAGTGTGCCCTGACTGCTACCGACTTTCCTGTCCTTGTTACTTTCTAATGGTGGACTGTCAAGTTTTCAAAACAACTTCTCCCTCTAACTTCAACCAGATACCAAAAAGGACTTGCATCCAAGATAGCCACCCCAGCGCCCAGTGAAGAGGCTCCCAGAGCCAGAAGGAAATAAAGCCTGGGGTAAACTGATTCTGAAGGAAATTAACCAAACCTTGCCAGACCTATGCCTGAGAGTGACAACCATTACTTCAAGTGACATTGCAGAATTCTCACTTCCTGGGTGAGTGGATTTCTGGAAATGTCAAAAAGTGGCTGTCTGGAGGACCCGAGTACCCCTGAATGCCCCAGCTGAAGGCCACCAGATGAAATTGGCAACACTAAAATAAATCCCAACTTTGGGTAAATGACGACTCACCATTTAGTGTCAGTGAAGGGAGACTGTCGCGTACTAGAGTTATTCACTGTATGCCGGAAGTTTAAGTTCAACTGAGATCCTACGTTATATTTGTAATCCTAGCCACCTGCCCCAACCCCCTTGAGCCTAGGCCACAAGGCCAGGCTGATGGCTCTAGAGGTGACGGGTAGGTGGCAGCAGAAGGGGGAGGCCAGCAGCCATCCAGGAAGCTTCACGTGTGGGGAACACTTACACTACTCCCTATAGAGACACCTCAAATTTCTAGGGACACTGCAAGGCTGTGAACTCTGACCTGAGAAGGCGGGGAGTGGTCTGGACTACTCCATCCCAGATGCTGCACTCAGAGGCGCCAGGTGACGCCTTCAGGGACAAGAAAGCCCATAAGCATAACCAAACTCTGATGTCATGTCTCAGCCAGGGGCCCAGTCAAGATGCCACCACTCACAGAGAAGCCCAGTCCCCACAGTCAGAGCCAGTGTGCCCAGCACCCAGAGGGGCCTCCCTGCCCACAGTGCCCATAGGCCAAGGTAAGATGGGCTCCCTCACCTTCCTTCATGTTTGCAAATCGTTCCTTCAGCTGGTGATCCACCTCAGGACCAAAGGCAAAGTTATTCACAAATATGACACTGCAAAGCAATATTTCAGTTGAGTTCAGTGAAATTCTCCCTCCACTGCCGTGGAGTCCCATGCTGGGCAGCTGGCTCAGCGACCCACAGCCCTGGGGCACTAGCCCACACCATCTGCCTGACACCCCTGCTGCCCACTGAGACTGAAGCCACAGCCAGCCCCCAAGCACACCCAGGCCTAGAGCAGGCTCTAAGGGGTTATCTGAGTCTACTGTCAATACGTAACATTTCAGAAATTTCCCCCAACTTTGGGCCAGCTCCTCCCTGCCCCCATCCCACCTGATGTGTCTTCCTACTGAGCCCCAAGGCTTAGTCTGAACTACGAGGACGACACCCCAAGGTCGGAATCTAGGACACAGCCACAAGCAGTGTTAAGTGGCCCCACTGTCAACCCCAACTCTGAAGCCACGGAAGCCCCTCAGGTGTGCTGTTGGACATGTTTGCCTCCCCACCCACCTCCACATCTAGGGGCTCCATTGTAGGTGGCCCCAATGGTTCAAACATGGCATGAGGTCTCAAGAACCCCTCCAGACCAAGGGGTCCGGGTTGCTGGCTGCACCATGGCCGTAGCAGGGTCCACAGGAGGCTGTGGAAGCCCGGGCAGCAGGGGTAAGCAGCTGTTCTCTGGGAGGCACCACTCGGCTCCCACACCCTCAGGTGCCCAGTGAGCTAGGAGTTCCAGGGTGGCGGCCTTGCTGGAGTGGTGGGCAAGCAGGCAGGAAGGGCCGCCCTCCCGCGCACACACTCCACCCTCCCCTGCTGCCGCCTGGTCCCTGCTGCCCCACCCCACAGCCCTGCTACATACTGGTGGATCTGAGGACTCAAGTGAACAGGGACGGTGTAAGTGCACCTTGTGCCTCCCAACTGCAGACACCAGATTTTCCTCCTTTTTCGAACATACATAGGGAGGACAGAGGGTGGTGATTTGGATCCCCAGGTGGTTTATTTCAAATCGTGATAGTTTAAAATTAAAATGGCCGGTCATGTTGCCTAGTGCCTCCATCAGGTAAGAAGACTGAGAAGAGGCAGGGAAGCACAGTACGCAGAGCCCCTTCTGCAGACCCGGCAGGAAGACAGCACGCGTGGGCGCAGGGAGCTCAGGCTGGGCGGGGTCACCGGGCAGCTCACTGACAGGGGAGAGGAGAGGAGTGGAGGGTGTAGCACGGACTGTAAGGTGAGCAGGCCGGCTCTCCTCATTCCTAGGCCTGCTACCCTCCCAATGTGTCCCAGGCTGCCTTTGGTCAGCAGCAAGACAAACGCCAGCTCCGGACCTGGACTGGGAACAAAGACATGAATGGTTCCAGTGACTGGGAGGTGACGAAGCGTGGGCCAGGTGAGAGCCTTGAGGGCTGGCTGGGTGAGATGGGGTGCTTCCAAAAACCCCTCAGACCTCACACAAGAAGAAAGTGGAAGAAACACAAAGTCACTGCACCAAGAAGAATGGGTCTACAATCAACCATTTCAAGAGGTGGCATATGATCAAGAACTAACAGTACTGAAGGAGGAAGACCAAGCTGCACTAAAGGACCTAGTGAAAAACAAGGACCCAGGAATTGACGGAATACCCATTGAGATGTTTCAACAAATGGATGCAGTGCTGGAGGCGCTTACTCATTTACACCAAGAAATTTGGAAGACAGCTTCCTGGCCAACTGACTGGAAGAGGTTACTACCATCTGTGCCTATTCCAAAGAAAGGTGATCCACCAGAACATGAAACAATTAAGTAATTATCACTAATACCACATGCAAGTAAAATCTTGCTGAAGATAATTCAAAAACAGTTGCAGCACGATATTGACAGAGAAACTCCAGAAATGCAAGCTGAGTTCAGAAGAGAATGTAGAATGAGGGCTATCACTGCTGATGTCAGATGGATCTTGGCTCAAAACAAAGAATACCAGAAGAATGTTTACTTGTGTTTTGTTGACTATGCAAAAGCATTTGACTGTGTGGATCATAACAAATTACGGACAGCATTGCAGAGAATTCCAGAACACTTAATTGTGCTCACGAGGAACCTGCACATAGACCAAGAGGCTGTCGTTGTGACAGAACAAGAGGATACTTGGTTTAAAATCAGGAAGGGCATGTACTAGGGTTGTAACCCTTCACCATACTTATTTGATTTGTATGCTGAGAAAATAATCCAAGAAGCTGGACTATATGAAGAATGTGCCATCAGGATTGAAGAAAAGCTCATTGACAACCTATGTTATGCAGACGACACAACCTTTCTTACCGAAAATAAAGATGACTTGAAGTACTTACTGATGAAGAACAAAGACTGCAGTATTGATTACACCTCAACATAAAGAAACAAAAATCCTCACAACTGGATCAATAAGTAACATCATGATAAATATACAAAAGATTGAAGTTGTCAAAGACTCCATTTTACTTGGATCTACATCAACACCCATGGAAGCAGCACCCAAGAAATCAGAGAGCATAGAGGCGGGGCAAGATGGCGGACTAGGCAGAAGGATTGCACAGACCCTCTTCAACAAAGAAAAGGGAAACCAATTAACACAGACACAGAAGAT